CTGATTGTCAATCATTTAATAGTTACTGACATTAAACTATTAACCACGTGTGAGTGAGTGAGTACAGTTGTATACTGCTTTTAGCAATATTCCAGCAATATCATGATGAAACAGCAGAAATAGGTTTCACACATTACACCCATGTGGTGAATCGAACCCATATAACCATGACATGCGGAGAGCGGTTATATGAATTAGTCATACCAACTTCAACATGTTCAAGAGCATTACATAAGTGTTACTTTATTGTCATGGTTACAAGTACATGCATCAGGTCTACCAAAGAAACCAGCAAAGAGATGACACACTGTTGAATTTGTAACATCTTCAACAGATCAGTCACAGATATTATAACACAAACAATCCCTCAATTTCACTGTCCCTCATAAATACAACCATGTATAATGTAGCATTGGTGTTACAGAACTGTTCAATGTCCCTCATATAAACAATGGTGTATCTGTGTTACCCCTTCTTACGACCGTGAAGATCCGGGGTAGAATAGGTCTTCAGCAACCCATGTGCTTGCCATAAAAGGCTTACTATCTTGTCGTGAAGAGAAGCGACTAACGGGATCGGGTGGTCAGTTTAGCTGACTTGGTTGACACATGTCATCGGTTCCCAACTTCACGCATGAGATCGATGCTCATGCTGTTGATCACTGGATTGTCTGGTCCAGACTCGATTATTTACATACACTGTACCTTTTATATACTTTGAGTTTTAACAAAGAATATGTTTACACTATTCAATGTCCCTCATATAAACAATGGTGTATCTGTGTTACCTTCTTACTGTACCTTTTATATACTTATGATGTATAACAAAGAATATGTTACACTGTACCTTATATATACTATGATTTATAACAAAGAATATGTTACACTGTACTTTCATATACTATGATTTATAACAAAGAATATGTTACACTGTACCTTATATATACTATGATTTATAACAAAGAATATGTTACACTGTACTTTCATATACTATGATTTATAACAAAGAATATGTTACACTGTACTTTCATATACTATGATTTATAACAAAGAATATGTTACACTGTACCTTTTATATACTATGATTAATAACAAAGAATGTTACACTGTACCTTATATATACTATGATGTATATAACAAAGGATATGTAACAAACACTGTACCTGTTATATATACTATGATGTATAACAAAGAATATGTTACACTGTACCTTATATATACTATGATGTTATAACAAAGAATATGTTACAAGGAATGTTACACTGTACCTTTTCTATACTATGATGTATAACAAGGAATGTTACACTGTACCTTTTATATACTATGATGTATAACAAAAAGAATATGTTACACTGTACCTTATATATACTATGATGTGTATAACAAATGTTACACTGTACCTTTTATATACTATGTTACAGAATATGTACCTGTTTTATATACTATGATGTATAACAAAGAATGTTACACTGTACCTTTTATATACTATGATGTATAACAAAGAATGTTACACTGTACCTTTTATATACTATGATGTATAACAAAGAATGTTACACTGTACCTTTTCTATACTATGATGTATAACAAAGAATGTTACACTGTACCTTTTCTATACTATGATGTATAACAAAAAATGTTACACTGTACCTTTTCTATACTATGATGTATAACAAAAAATGTTACACTGTACCTTTTATATACTGAGTTATCACAAAGAACATGTTATACTGTACCTTATATATACTATGAGTTATAACAAAGAATATGTTACACTGTACCTTATATATACTATGAGTTATAACAAAGAATGTTACACTGTACCTTATATATATACTATGATTTATAACAAAGATATGTGTTACACTGTACCTTATATATACTATGATTTATAACAAAGAATGTTACACTGTACCTTTATATACTATGATGTATAACAAAGAATATGTTACAGTGTACCTTATATATACTATGATGTATAACGAAGAATATGTTACACACTTTCGGAATGTCCCTCATTCACAGTGGCATATAAGGTAGTATCTTGTGTAACTTTCAATGTCCCTCATGTGTAATCTATCAGTCACACCATGCACCCCAATAACAGCTGGTAACGCTGTTTCTAATCAATACAGTTTAGTAGCTGACGAGTTCATGGCAGATATAAAGTGATTATGGAGTGGGACCAGCAAAATATGTACCAGTGATTACCATTGCATCGTAGTGATTCAGAGACCGTTACTCGCAGCACCCCTTCCACATAAGCTCCAGGCTTGACCACTTCGATGAGGGGTATTTGTAAGGGGTTGGTATTCCATACATCTTTGAGACAGTTGGGGTTCAAGGTGATGGTAAACAGCTCTGACTGAACTGGATATGCCATCGACACCCTTGGAACAAGACCACATCACACACCAACAAATTGGGAGGTTGTTGCTAAATGTCGGATATGAGCTCAGCGTTCTGCGATGCACTGTGCACATTATCAGAACAGCGAACCTTCTACCGCTGCAAGGAGCTCAGCTACGTTGAAATCCATGGCATCGTTCGGATATGCCAAAAAATAGAAATACCACGAAAACACGCAGGGAGGTAGACTTAGGCGGCCGTCCATACAGGAAGCGCGCAAGCAGCGTCGGCGCGTTTGTTTTGTGCCTCTTTTCGAGCAGCGCGTTACCGCGTCTATCCATACAAAAATGGAACTGAAATTAAAACCTTTCCGCTCAAAAGACACATCATGAGACTGTATCTAGGAAAAGATCTACTTGAGAGCAAACGCATTTTCAACTATTGTCTTTCTAGAGCCAGAAGAGTAGTAGAATATGCGTTTGGCATTCTTGCAAACAGATGGCGCATATTCCACAGAAAGAACAACCTGAAGGTTGAGAGTATCAAAAAGATAACACTGGCATCATGTGTCCTGCATATATTTGTACTGCAGACACACCCCAATCATTATCTGAAGAGAGAACTCAAGCGCTGGTCGATGTTGGTGGAATTGGTAATCACCCTGGAACAGACGCCATGCAAACGCGTGACAACTTTTGCAGGTATTTCTGTTCACCTTCCGTACAAAACACTCCAGTCATATATTGACAATTATAAATGGGTGCCTGCTTTTGAAAATGTTCACGAGTTCAAAATTTTGGTGTAGTTTGTTTCAATTGTTGTCAATATAACATGATATTACCTGTTGACTCGCATGCTTGGCTGATTGCTGTCCATGCATTATTTGACATTTCTGCATCTTTATAATGTCTGCTGTCAATACCATAGAGGCAGGGATGTTTGTGTACCTCAGTGATCAATAATTCCTCATTTATTTGTGTTCTTGGCATCGTATACGTCTGAAATAACAACATTTTGAACAAAGCACGTGTATATCCAAGACAAGCGGAAGAGGGAGATTCCCCAGTGCGTCAGCACGTCAAGCAGCAAAAATCGCTGTTTTTGCGATTCAAAAGTTTTGACGCCGACGCGCTGCTTGAATGGAGTGGCATAAACTTGAAAAATTTGTGGCGATTTTTTCGGAAATGACGTGACGCGCAGCGCTGCTTGCGCGCTTCTTGTATGGACGGCCGCCTTTACACATTACGAATTATGATTATGATTGCTCTCTTTACTGGGATACGATAACAGGCATTAAGCAAGTCAGCGAGCCTGACCACTCGACCCCTTCCAATAAACACTGATCTTTCTGCGAAAACCATAGAGTCATATAAGGACAAAAGTTTATGGATGTACAACTTCTTTATTCCTCACCATTCTCCAACTTCTAAACATGCCACTCAAAGAAGTCATGAAACCGAGTACATAGTAATCGATTGGCTTTTTTATATCTTTACTGATGTTGCGAACATAAGCCACCCAAGTGAAGCCATTGTATAGTACAGTTGTTTGTTTGGCTTCCTTACTTTCACTTCGAAAGAATAAATATGGGACTTTATTTTCAAAGCTGGCATCGCGAACGCCTATGAAACCTCACTTTGCAGGATCGACATTTTTTAAAGATAATACACCTGCCTGAATTATTTTGATGGCCACCTTCTTCGATATCCAGGGGCGGTTGGGTAGCCTAATGGTTAAAGCGTCCGCTCGACACGCTGAAGACCCGGGTTCGATTCCCCACATGGGTGCAATGTGTGAAGCCCATTTCTGGTGTCCTCCGCCGTGATATTGCTGGAATATTGCTAAAAGCGGCGTAAAACCATACTCACTCACTCACTCACTCTTCGATATCCACGGGTGGCCCAGTCGTCTAAATAAGGCATCACAATTCGTGTTGCAGAGTTATGTCCCTTGGGTACGCTAGCGAACTATGGTGGGTTTGAATCCCAGTTCGCTCCAATTATGTTTTTCGCTTTGTCTCGTACTCGGGTGTCTCTGAAAAATGGAAAACGTGCTAGACCTTCAACACGCCGGGTTTTCCTCCCACATTTAGCAGACACGCTTAACGTCCGGAATACTATTCAAAACGACATTAACCCAACTCCCTCAGACTTCGATATATTTTCCACCACAATTGATCTGAATTCAGCTGCTTGGTATATGCGGCCATGCCCCCCACTACCGTCACATGTCACATGGACTTCGACCAGTTCGCTGAGTCACAACATAACAATGATCGACAACTGTTGCATAATGATTGCGACATATCGATTTGTTAGAACATCCCTTTCAGGTAAAAACGCGGCGCAAGCACACACATACCTTGCATGTTCAGGGGCGGATACAGCTTTTTGAGAAAGGGGTGTGTGGGGAGTTTCAATGGTCATTTAACAAACTTTCAGCACAAAAGGGGAGGTGCGCACCCCCTACATCCCCCCTCTGGATCCGCCTATGATGTTCAAAAACATCTACCACAAAGCCAAACAAGCAATTAAACAAAAGCAAAATATATTCAGCTGTATTAAAAGGTCGTATAGTAAACCGTCAACAGACTTCAATAACATAAAGTGGTACTTGTTTTCTTTCACAGGCTGTACTTTACACAACATGTTACAACATTGATTAATTGATTTCTCTATTTACTTCGGTGAATTGACTTCAACAAGCTGGGGGCTCTCTTAAGAACCAGCTGGCGTCACCTCAGTAGTCACCAATATGCCAGACAGTTAGCATTTCGTCTAAAACCTCATTCTTTCGTGCATGAGGGCTACATAAAACGCCGACAGTCTTGACGGGCAACACTACGTCTTGTGGTAAGTCACAGATTAGATCACGTCCCTAGAAACTAGAACTAGCACATTCTAATACAATTGCTGGTGCCAACAAACATGATAGTCGATATAAGCAAATATACAATACGCTTTATTTACTGTGATTACACAATGCCATTTTAGAAAGTGGTCAAATATAACATGTGTTATATTTGGGATTACGCTTTCTTAGTAAAGTACAAATTCTAGTACTATTTTGGGTTGAGTCCCATCCGGGATTCTGATATTTACTGATTTTATACCTGATTTCCCCGTCAGTGTATACCACTTACATATGTCATTATGCCACATGGACTGTTATTCATTTCAGTTAGATATGTAATGTATTTGCAAAACGATTCTGAAATATGTTATAGAAGATAATGAACATATGACTGCACAATATAAAACGCGAGTGTATTACATTGAAGAGTGAAACAGCTTACATTCACCCATGGACGTGTGCCCTATACTACTATGCACGTTGGCGTTGAAGCGTTACGCCTTAGCAATTGTTACAGCTGCAGTATACATACAGTACAACCAGAAATTATTGAGAATTAAAGATTGTAATTTTTAAAAAATATTTCACTCATTACTCACGTATTAAATGTGAATATTAGCAGAACATAACTCCAGATTCAAAGACAGGTGAACAGTTAGTATTTTGTCAAGTTACCATGGGCAGCAATGCAGGCTTCAATGCAGTGGGGCATACTACTAATCAAAGAAGTTAGAAAGTCGTGTTCCATGCTGTCCCAATATCGGACCACCTCTTCTTTCATTTCAGCAATATTTGTCAGATTTGACACTTTCCTTCATAAGTCCCCAAACATTTTCTATTGGATTTAGGTCAGGGCTATAGCTTGGCCAATCTAATAATGTCATATTTTGGGTCCGAAACCCGGCCTGTGAATGCTTTGAACGATGTTTTGGGTCGTTGTCCTGCTGGAAAATCAAAACATTTCCATAGAGCACATGAGCAGATGGAAATAAATGTCCCTCGAGAATATCTGTGTACCGCTCACTGTTCATATTCCCTTCAAATACACAGAGGGGCATTGCCCCTAACACAGATATGCCACCCCACACGTTAAATTTCGGACTGTACTTTGGGCGCTGATACAAAGGTTTTTCAGCTTGTTTGGTCCAGAATTTTAGTGTATTAGGAAACAGCCACACAGAACTTTCATCTGAGAAAATCACATTGTCCCAGTTAAAATTTCTATGCTGTAAGTACCAGTTCAACCTTCGCTCCTTTTGTTCAGGTTTCATGATCGGTGATGGAACTCCTAGACTTTTCTGCCAACCCATTGCATGCAGCTCAGTTATAATTGTCTCCTTACAGGCAGCCACTGTCCCTCTATCAATCATATCCAGCCTTAAGTTTTCTAAAAACAAACAAAGGAGTTTGTTTTTAGAAACAAGAATACCAAGCCGCCTCCTGTCACCGACAGTCAATTTTCTGGGCCTACCTGCGCCTCCCTGGTGCTCAATGCCATATCCATTTGCAATATTTTTTAAAACACGATAAACAGTGGACAAAGGGATGCCTGTTCTACTTGAAATCACTTTAGCTTATCTGATATCCTTGTTATAATACTCTAAAATCAACTTCCCATTCTCTAAATCATCCATACTGAGGATCACTGAAAATGTCGTCTGCTAGCAAGTAGACAAAGGGGATAACTCTTCACAAACTAATGAAAAAGGATTAACGGAGTTGTCTCTCTTGAATGAAACCAAGCACTTGATAGCTGGTCAAGGTTGTTTATACTAGAAATCCAATTAAACATATTCCTAAAATTCTCAATGATATCTAGTCATACTATATATATCAGGAAAGTTTTACATGTATATTTTAACTATCTAGGTATTAATCTCATTTTTCAGATGTGATGTGCAATTGCAGAATGAAGTGGTGTCGCCGACAGCTATGCGGAATACACAAATCAAGACGAAATCGGCTACGATTTGCCAGCGTTGTCGTTGTTGGACTGCTGGCCCTGGTTGTCGTAATCCGTCCAAAGAGTACGTTGATATATCTCTAACAGCCGTACTTACACTCGCCGTAGCTACATGTGAGTGACTGAGTGAATGTGTTTAGGTGCAGTCAGCAATATGTCACGTACATAATTCATGAACGCCCGATTAATGAATACATTAATTAAGAATTTACTTCTACTTTTGCCGCGTTTATGGAATTACACGTAGAAACCGGTGGTTTTGCGCAAATTGTGCAAATCTTTTAACTCTCTAAACGCAAACTATTACTTATGGACGTGAATTATTGTAAATAATACAATAACTTCTCAGATAGCTATTCAATGATCAACGCACGAAAACTGTAAACAGCACGAATCGGTGACATCGTTAATGCAACACAAGCCCAGGGCCATCTGTTGAGCGGTCAATTACAGGAGGACGGCAAATAATCAAGTGACTAGAACTTCAGTTATCAAACATTTTTAGACGAAACCATACAGCCTTTTAATTTGTATACTCTGTGCAAAAACTACCTCTTCACTACAAACCCCTTAAATCTACCGAAACTCGATGCCACGGGAGGTGAGAAATTGAAATGAAAGAAATTGCATCAAAATGGCGAGAAAAACATTGTTACGTTGTCAGTTATGGCGTCACAATCAAATTACATCACTGGTGTTTCCAAAGCTTGTTGGCTGTATTTTTCATCCAAGACACTGGCTATTATGGTTTACAAACTAAACTTGACCTGTTGTTTGATTTTGTATTATTAACAGAATCGTTTCTTGTTAAATAAAGACTCATATACGTGCTATGAAATTCACCAAGGTTATATGCTCAATGTGAGCGATGAAACACCTGTCGACAAAAGAACCATCCAGAATCTCATCCCATACTTTAATGAATGTCACATATCATAGGGTTTCAAACATCACCTAATTTTTCAGTACCATCATTGTCTTATGTTGAAACTCAACTTTTATTGTTTAGAACATGTATCGTTGTTGTTCTAGACCCGTCAAAAGCTCGATTTACCCGGTTGAGTAAAATGGTGATTAATCAGCACAGACTGCTGTTCAAAGAGCTGAAGACAAAAGAAAAGATCCAGGTTAGTAAGGTCAGAGGGAGTTTGGGGAGTCGCATGTTTATACTTTACTTGTCTGGATTCTGGTTCAAGGCCGACTACACAGCGGCAGTCCGTAAATGATAGCTGTTGAACCAGTGACTGACGTTGTGAGCCACTACGCAATTAACCATGCAGACTGCGTTGCGTCGATTAGCCCTGTCAGGATCTGTGATTCATAGGTTCGAATCTCCATGTCCGTACTTGTTGGTTTCATAAACATCATTAAAGAGTGTTTAGCAATATTCTAGCAATATCAAGACTGGGGACACGAGAAATGGGCTTCACACATTGTACCTATGTGGGAATCGAACCCGGGCGCTTTAACTACTAGGTTACCCCATCGCCCCGGAAACAGCATTAAGACAAACACTAAATAGCAGCATCGATAACACGTGTATTCAGTGTGCGAAATAGCCACTGGCCCGCTAGCCCGTGGCTAGTAAAAATCCAGTCGGGCCAGTAAATCTCCACGTCACTGGCCCGACTGGCTAGTGAATTTTCATGGGGTCATTTTGTAAATATATTACTCTCACCGACTTGTTACGTTATAATGCACTTTTAAATCATGCAAGATTATGTTCATCATATTAGCAGCGTACCTTTGTGTAACCCTTTGCTTAGTTTCTACATTCAGATTTCGGGCTAGTGAATTATTTTGTTGGCTAGTAACTTTCAGGCATAGCTAGCCCGACTGGCTAGCAAAATTTGGAAACTATTTCGCTGCGTGTATTGCAAAGCAGGTAGCTGGGATTATGCATGGCTTATGTGTGTTTAGTTTGAATGAGAGAGTTTGATCAGTATTCCATTCATTATACGAGTCAGCTCGGTGTGGGAAGAAGGCCAGCAGCGATGCAGGTATTCCTTGTAGACTACACTGGGGACATCAACGAGCATGCAGACGAGCATGCTACGATTGTGCTTACAAATCTACAAACACAATCGAAGCAAACAGGGATCCAAAACCACGATAATACCATCAGGTTAACGTTTTTGACGTCTTAGATGTAGCTCTGCAAAGCTAATTACGGCACATTCGACTACTTGGGCACCCGTATCCAATGCCCTTTATGCCCTTTACCCGTGAAGATCCGGGTTAGAATTGGTCTTCAGCAACCCCCGTAAAAGGCGACTAGCGGGATCGGGTGGTCAGATTCGCTGACACATGTCATCGTATCCCATTTGCGTGGGTCGATGCTCACAGGTGCGGTGCTACCATTATAAAAAAAAGCCCGAGCCTACCCATGATTGTTGCTAAAAAGGTTGGGCAAGCCGTCAAACAACAAACAAACAAACTCAAATGCCATTAATGTACGATTTTGTAATACTTTTAAAGCATATACTTTGTTTTAGACATCTCCTGATCCAGCTGTATACAGAAAACGCCAAGAACAGGTCCGACGCGTCTGTGAATCCCGTAACACATCCAGCTCATCTTTGTCAATGACAACGTTCATGCACAGATCCTGGTTCGCGGAGGAATACAAACTCCTGTACTGTTTAGTTCCCAAAGTCGGATGCACATTTTGGAAACGAACCTTGCAAGTGTTGCGGCTACACGCTATTGGGCTGAAAACACCGTTCAAGTTGTTGTATGAACAGTGTTCTAGCGGAAGACGTGTTGCGATAAAAAACATCATGGAAGCTGCTGGTGGAAGCAGTGACCTGACAAGCATAATCTCCGAAAGATATACAAAGTTCATGTTTACCAGAGATCCATTTGAAAGATTATTTTCAGCCTACATTGATAAATTCTTGACGCCGAATTTGTCATTCTGGAATCTTGGGAGAATCATTGTTGATGACATCCGCCGTGCTCCAATGAAAAACTATTGGTACGGACACGATGTCACATTTTCAGAATTTATTGAGTACGTTTTAACAACGGAGGACAAATACCTTGATAGTCATTTTAAACCCATTTCCTGTATATGTGACGTTTGTAATGTCAAATATAACGTCATTGGGAAGATGGAGACGTTCAAAACGGATGTGTTCCACATCATCAGCAAAGTAAATGCATCGGACTGGCTGGTTTTTAAAGATTTCAAAAAAGAGGCAACGATTGATACAATTCTGGATATAGCTGGGAAGGCTTTTCAGTACAAAGAAGATCTGGAGAGATATATGCCATTTCATGACATTTTGCGAAGAGTATGGAGGCGATTTAAAATTGCAAATATCTTGGATTTGAAAGAACGGTTTCCTCTTTCCGAACAGCAGAGCAGAACAATAGCTATGGAGGATTTCGCAGATGTGGTTGTGACATTGTACAAAACGTCCGAGAAACGCGACAGAGGGAGTAGGACTGCCGCGTATATTCAGGCATATCGGCAGTTAACCAAGTCCTCACTAGACAAGCTGAGGAATCTGTTTAGCCTCGATTTCGATCTGTTTGGCTATGACATGGCAGGACCTCATCTTGACGCCATGGAGAAAGAGGTGAAGGATAGGTCTGCTTTAGATTATGATTATTATGACATCTTGAGGTGAAACGTTTCTAATACAAATGACGGATTAATACATCGCCTATCAGAGAGTAAAGAAATAGGAGAAAATAATAATAAGGTTGCTTATATAGCGCTTAATTACATACACATGTATGCTCAAAGCGCGACAGGGAGAGTGTAAAGTACATGTCAGAGAAGCACAGATGGAACACAAAGTGCTAGTTGAATAAGGACGTCTTGAGCTGACGTTTGAATTGGGTCACTGATGGTAAAGTCTTCACCTCAACTGGAAGAGCGTTCCAGCTTGACACAAAGTGCTAGTTGAATAAGGACGTCTTGAGCTGACGTTTGAATTGGGTCAATGATGGTAAAGTCTTCAACTCAAGTGCAAGAGCGTTCCAGAGTTGTGCCGATACCTTAGAGAATGACCGACATCGAACATTTTAGTTTTGTTCGCGGAATGACAAGATTGTGTTGCAAACATGATCTGAGGCTTCTGGCTGACCAATTCGCAAAGATAGCTTGGTGCTGTTCGACTGACACATTGGTAGGTGAGTGTCAAGACTTTGAACTGGATTCTCGTCTGGACTGGGAGCGAGTGCAGGGACTTAAGAATCGGTTTGATGTGGTAGTGCTTTGATAATCTGGTTACAATCCTGGCAGCTGTATGCTGGAGCCTCTGTAGGCGATGTATCTGCTCTGAAGATGCTCCTGCAAGAACACTATTGCAGGAGTCGAGCCTGGAGAGGATGAATGATCTCATTAGTCCTGCTGCAGATGAATCACTAAGAAGGCTGCGGATGCTGCTGATGTTTCTCATGTAGTTTCACTTAGTGTTTCACAATGCCCAAAGGCCGTCACAGGTCTATGTTAAGTGTAGGACTTACGATAGTTATAGTGACAGGGCTACTAAGACAGCTATATTGAATGGACCCTGGACCCGTTATACAAAACAATCTTAGCACTAAGACGATCATATCTTCTTCAAACATAGCCGTAATGAAAGGGCTCAGAGACTAAGACGGGTCTCAGGAATATAGGTCAACAACCAACGGATCCTGGCTGCTCAGGGGGAACAACTCTCGCAGCCAGCTGCGACAACTGCGACTGCATTGGACATATGAAATACAAATGCTTGATACACTTCCAAGCTTTATTTCAACATTTTAGTATTCATAGAAAATTGAATAGAATACAACGGGAATGACATTAAAACAGTCACAGCACATAGTCATAATCAAAATTACCGTGTAAATGAAACAAATTATGTAAATAAATACTAATGATAGAATTAAGGTATCGCTATTCATTTTCAGATAGTTCCTTTAACAGTTAACATGGCGTTGTTCATGTGTGCTTTGATCTAAAGAACTGACTTGAACGCTGACAACATGTTTGAGGGCCACATGATAAAATTGAGTAAGATATTTTTCCTGTTGTAGAAATCTTTCAAAGCGGGAGCCAATCATAAGGCCATCCATGTTCTTTTATGTCTCTTGTCACCTACTTCAACCAGTAAGACAGCCAGGCTGGGTGAATAAAGTCTCTTTCATATATTGTTTCAGATATTTTATCAAAATTCTCGGATTTAGAACACTGGGTAATAGTGTTGAAATTAATTTATAGTTCAGAAACAAATAAATGAAGATAAAAAAAAATCAAGAGTAGGAATATTTTTCATCACCCATGTGCAAGAGTCCGGAAGAGGGGAAAAATAAAATGAGAAAACTTTACATTTTCTCATGCCAGAATGACAAAATCAGGGCGAACCGGAGAAGGGATACATAGAAAAGACTGAATGCAGGTAATGCCCCGCATTTTTCATTGGTAAGTTATCATACTGGAACCATGAAACTATGGAATGATACCTAAACCTACTTTCATTACTAAAAGCCACAATTTTAAACATTGGACACGTGACACAACAGCAAACAAGCACGTTTGAGAAACAAAAGTGTTCCATAAACCGAAGCAACTGGAATAAAACATCCACAAACAGCTCAAATGAGATAGAAAAACATAATAACAAATATGCTATACAGTGAAACACCTTTCACATCACAAAAAAAAACCCCAAACAACAAAAATATCACATGCAGCTCTCCAGTTGATTAAAGACAGGACCTTGTCAAAATCACGGTCAAGTGAGATTAAGCAACTTCAACTCTTCATAGCTCAGACAGGAAGTTCACCATAGGATTTCAGGTACTGACACGATCAATGATCCATGAAGACTGAAATGATAAACACAGTTTAACCCAGATCTTCATGGGATAAGACATGCATGATCTACTGAAGACCCATTCAAACACAGATCTTCACTACAATAACAAGAAGACAAAGTCATCAATATCCCCATAATGGCAAAATACTCTTCATGATTATGTCTACGAGTTATGATTATGTCAAATATTTAGGTGTGTATATAGAAATATTTAGGTGTGTATATAGAAAAGTGGAAGGAGAGTATTGAAAGGTTTTAAAGTTCTGCTCAGAAAGCAGCACTATCACCAATTTCAGTCAAACTTGTTGCCATGGAAATGCCAAAATATTTTATTCAAAATTCCAAAACTACCAAAAGGCACCAGTACACCACTAGACCAATCTATGTGCCAAGTTTGGTGAAGAAATAGTGAACGGTTTTAGAGTTCTGCTCCGGAAAAGAGCACTACTACAATTTCAGGCTAAGTCAAACTTGTTGCCATGGAAACGCCAAAAATATTTTATTCAGAATTCCAAAACTACCAAAAGGCACCAGTACACCACCAGATCTATCTATGTGCCAAGTTTGGTGAAGAAATAGTGAACAGTTTTAGAGTTCTGCTCCGGAAAAGAGCACTACCACAATTTCAGGCTAAGTCAAACTTGTTGCCATGGAAACGCCAAAAAAATATTTTATTCAGAATTCCAAAACTACCAAAAGGCACCAGTACACCACCAGATCTATCTATGTGCCAAGTTTGGTGAAGAAATAGTGAACAGTTTTAGAGTTCTGCTCCGGAAAAGAGCACTACCACAATTTCAGGCTAAGTCAAACTTGTTGCCATGGAAACGTCAAAAATATTTTATTCAGAATTCCAAAACTACCAAAAGGCACCAGTACACCACCAGATCTATCTATGTGCCAAGTTTGGTGAAGAAATATTGAACGGTTTTAGAGTTCTGCTCCGGAAAAGAGCACTACCACCAATTTCAGTCTAAGTCAAACTTGTTGCCATGGAAACGCCAAAAATATTTTATTCAGAATTCCAAAACTACCAAAAGGCACCAGTACACCACCAGATCTATCTATGTGCCAAGTTTGGTGAAGAAATATTGAACGGTTTTAGAGTTCTGCTCCGGAAAAGAGCACTACCACAATTTCAGGCTAAGTCAAACTTGTTGCCATGGAAACGTCAAAAATATTTTATTCAGAATTCCAAAACTACCAAAAGGCACCAGTACACCACCAGATCTATCTATGTGCCAAGTTTGGTGAAGAAATATTGAACGGTTTTAGAGTTCTGCTCCGGAAAAGAGCACTACCACCAATTTCAGTCTAAGTCGAACTTGTTGCCATGGAAACGCCAAAAATATTTTATTCAGAATTCCAAAACTACCAAAAGGCACCAGTACACCACCAGATCCATGTATGTGCCAAGTTTGGTGAAGAAATATTGAACGGTTTTAGAGTTCTGCTCCGAAAAAGACAAATGTGCACGGACGGACGGACGGACGGATGCGACGACGCGACGGACGGAGTCCATTTTAATACCCCCGCAAAACGCCGCTATGGGGATAAAAACAAAACAAAATCAGGTTAGTCAGGTTACTGTTTGTAGGCATCGCAATGAACTACATAGCACTAACAGGCAATGCACCGAGTTTAGGTGAACTGAAAGTACACGTGTTGTGATTGGTTATCGTAACATGAACTGTCCAATCATAAGTAGTTTAACATAATCATCATAATACTGTAAACACCTCAAACTGACGACAAGAGAACCTGTCTGATATTATGAAATATTTACTGTTAGGGGTAAAAATATCTACCAGACCACCAGACAGGCTACTTTTGAAATTTGACCGTCCGAGATGAAAATAGACCGTTCCGGACGGTCAGGCAGCTGAGAATATTAAACGCTGACATCACCATACCCCACTTGTTACAGCATGACCTACTATGTAACTGTCGGATCATTCAAGTGTCACATAGTAAGATACCACCATTACATACATAATTATGTATGGATGTGTGAAATAACCTTTATACTGTCAATCCTTCAGCTGACTTTTGTTCATGTGGAAAGTTTAGTTTAGAATTCAAAGACCCTATTATTCATAAGAGACTGTTTACAATCACGGTGAAGCTATGGTTTATAGCACTTAATAATGAAGCTGAACCTTTTCCGATTGTCTTTGGCAGCATCAGATCTTAATTAGTTTTTCCTTTTGGATTGAAAATAGTTGTATATTCGTGTTTGATTTGATTTAAAATTGCACTTCTTTACAGGTTCTTTTCCCTTTCTTTTTGCGTGTTTAGATTTCTTAGCAGGCTTCTGCATAATTCCTGAAACGGTCCTTTTCCTTGCACCAGTGCCAGTTCCAGAAAGTGTCACATCCTCAACATCTGAATCTGAATGAAGCACAATAACAGAAGCGTCAGAACTTTCATCAGTAACAGGTATAGCATCATCTTCAGATGTGGAACCAGCTTCTTCTGCTGCAAGATGAGGAAAGGATCCAGGAGCAGCTTCAGGGACAGCTTCAGGAACATCTTCACCTGGGTCTATATCAAAGTCAAGCACTAGGTCAGAGGCTGAATCACTGCTTCTCACTACCATGACATCACTGTCTGTACTTTGGGGGCTGGACTCAGAATTTTCCAGACCCACTGGCAAGTGTTGCCTTACAACATTGGTCAGGGTGTTACAGCTGTCAGAGTCTTGACTATCACTTACAATAACGACTACCTCTTCCTTTCTCACATCAACACGACGACCACCACCTCCATCATCATCATCATCATCATCATCATCATAAGAGAACAAATCCTCAGATTTCAAGGAATGCCACTCATCTTCATCGCTACAATGCTCTTTAGATGATTGGCAAGAACTGCTGACCACTTCAGTGCTTTGACTGGACACCTGCTTCTGTTGTGGGTCATCATCGACAGCTATCTGACTAAACACCTGCCTCTGTTGTGGGTCATCATCGACAGCTATCTGACTAAACACCTGCCTCTGTTGACTGTCATCTACGGATGACACATTAGACACACACCCAAGTTGTTGAGATGATGAATCCAGTTTTTGTTTCTGAAGTCAATCCTTTAGCATCAAAGTCAATTTTCTTCTTGCACTTGTTCACATTTTCCTCCTGCTGACTTAGACTGCGTTTCACAGGAGTGTCTTCATTTTGTGTTTTATCTTTCGATTTCTTCCGCAGAGGTCCTGGCGTCAGCAGCAAATCTCTGACTTTGGGCTGACGGACAGGAGTTACAGGAACCTTCTTCTTGCTCGCTGAACAAATAAAAGGCATGCAAGTCATTGATACACTGAGCATAGCACAGGTCTGTTCTGCCTTGTCATACAGTCCTACTAAAAGTCTTGTATTGTGAAAACATGACATGTCATCTTTTGATTCTCATAAATTCAGTATCAGGAAATTGCAAGAGAGGAATCAGATCTACTTTTTACATACATTTCTGTATGAAAGGCCAATGGCTGAGTATGATATGAAACTTTTAGAATGATTATCTATTAGAAGAACCAATAGCATCAGCATCTTGTTGCCATGTTTACTCAACATACCAATTTCTTCCTGAAAACGTGAGACGAGTTCTGGGCATCTTGTCTGGAACAAGTTTTCTTCCACATCTACAGTGTAGAACTGTCCTGTGGTCCAGTGGTCTTCATCTATCAGACATGGATAGAGGTTGACATGACATTGTTTTTTTTTTTGTTTTTTTTCGCTCTTCATACATAGTTTGTTCATATCTTTAAACAAACATCTTGTCTTTTTATTTGTAAAAAAATTAAATCAATAAATCCAGTCGTTGACGCTTTCATATAGAAATATACACGTATCATTAAATATAGAGATTATAAACATACATTGTTAACATAGGATATGACCTGGATATTTTACATAGTGATCTAAAATCTTAAATCTTAGGTATAAGCCATTTTGTTTGATGCAGAGACAGAATCTTGTTCTCCAAAATATTTACTGAAAGTGGTGTTTTTCCCACATTTTCTTTGCTTTCACAATGAATGATAAATTCATGTATGCCCTAATCAGATTTAATTAGACAAAAAATATAGCAGCCAGTGCAACCTACCATGACTACTTACATATAGTATGACCAGAAATTATTGAGAATTTTAGGAATATGTTTAATTGGATTTCTAGTATAAACAACCTTGACCAGCTATCAAGTGCTTGGTTTCATTCAAGAGAGACAACTCCCTTAATCCTTTTTCATTAGTTTGTGAAAAGATATCCCCCTTTGTCTACTTGCTAGCAGACGACATTTTCAGTGATCCTCAGTATGGATGACTTAGAAAAGAGGAAGTTGATTTTAGAGTATTATAACAAGGACATCAGATCAGCTAAAGTGACTTCAAGTAGAACAGGCATCCCTTTGTCTACTGTTTATCGTTTTTTAAAAAATATTGCAAATGGATATGGCATTGAGCACCAGGGAGGCGCAGGTAGGTCCAGAAAATTGACTGTCGGTGACAGGAGGCGGCTTGATATTGTTGTTTCTAAAAACAAACTCCTTCGTTTGTTTTTAGAAAACTTAAGGCAGTATATGATTGATAGAGGAACTGTGGCTGTCTGTAAGGAGACAATTAAAGCTGAGCTGCATGCAATGGGTTGGCAGAAAAGTCTAGGAGTTCCATCACCGATCATGAAACCTGAACAAAAGGAGCGAAGGTTGAACTGGTGCTTACAGCATAGAAATTTTAACTGGGACAATGTGATTTTCTCAGATGAAAGTTCTGTGTGGCTGTTTCCTAATGCACTGAAATTCAGGACCAAGCAAACTGAAAAACCTTTGTATCAGCGCCCAAAGTACAGTCCGAAATATAATGTGTGGGTGGCATATCTGTGTTAAGGGCAACGCCCCTCTGTGTATTTGAAGGGAATATGAACAGTGAGCAGTACACAGATATTCTGGAGGGACATTTATTTCCATCTGCTCACATGTTCTATGGAAATGTTTTGATTTTCCAGCAGAACAACGACCCAAAACATCGTTCAAAGTATTCACAGGCCTGGTTTCGGACCCAAAATATGACATTATTAGATTGGCCAAGCTATAGCCCTGACCTAAAGCCAATAGAAAATGTTTGGGGACTTATGAAGGAAAGTGTCAATAAGAAAAATCTGACAAATATTGCTGAAATGAAAGAAGAGGTGGTCCGATATTGGGACAGCATGGACCACGACTTTCTAACTTCTTTGATCAGTAGTATGCCCCGCCGCATTGAAGCCTGCATTGCTGCCCATGGTGACTTGACAAAATACTGTTCACCTGTCTTTGAATCTGGAGTTATGTTCTGCTAATATTCACATTTAATATGTGAGTAATGAGTGAAAATTTAAAAAAAAATTACAATCTTAAATGTTCAATAATTTCTGGTTGTACTGTACGTTGCAACTTACCTAACTTGGACCAAACAGTCTGATAGCAATCCACAAATTTTCTCTGACATGCCTTCTGTATGCTGAAATAGTCAACAATGAGAACTAATTTATATAATAATGATCAATGTCAGACTTGAGAAAAGATACTATACTGAACAGCAAAAGAAATGCAAGTCTGGCTTTTTGTCAAGTTTTTCAATAGAAGACAACCCAAATTATGTCTAATCATTTATTCTATAGAAAACACTGTCAATTTAACAGCTGAAAGTTGCTGTTGACATTGAATTGCAATAAGTTTAAATTGAAAACAGTCCGTCAAATGGAGATAGCCCAGAATGCGAAAAGTGACAGTATGTCTAGTAACGAGTATAGACACCTTGAGCTCACAGGTCGTGCAACGTGGCCTCATTGAGTTCACTAGAGTCTGAAAGAATGCCTTAGGCAACTGGTTCCGCTCAAACACTAATCTCTATTCCAATTGTGCAAGTGTGAGTGTTCGTCTACCTGCAGCTATCCTCTGTCCAATTTCGTCCCAGAATGTTCAATGGGAGCCATATCCGGGGAAAGAGACGTTAATGTTGTTCTGAGCCAGATAATCCATCGACACCCCCTTGCAGTGTGAGGGCTGCAAACGCCGCTGGCGCTGTTGCGTTGACTGGCGATGCCAAAACTGGCCTTCGCAGTGGATTCCAGCAGCCCAAAGACGACGCCTAATCGTATTGCTTGGCACTGCTCCCCTTGACCCAAGAACTAAGGCTGTTGTTACTGTTGCTGCTTGAGTTCGGGTTCCTTAGATGTGTGACCCGGATGAACCGATCTTGGCGCATGAGTTGTCACTGCTGTCGTCCGCACGGTGGACGATCAGCAGCAACCCGCTTTGCTTATGACGTTGAGCTAGTCGTAATGGTGGTAAGATGACAACCCAATTGTTCAGCTACAGCGCTGCAGAGCTACCTCCGTAACTTTCCAATGGCCATTCCTCTGCTCAGTCGTTAGTCTAGGCATCGCTTGTGTGGCGCCTACACCTCCTAGCCAATACTAAACTGTTTTTGACACAAACCTTTATAAAGGATACCTCAGAGTGAAATGCCTGCTTTTCATCCATAACCGTTGATGCACGTGCTAAAATTATGGTTTGGCTGCACTGTTGGTGTGTTTGTGTGAATGGTTCGTAACGACGTCAAATTGCATGACATCATCTCATCTGGGATCATTACGTCACTTTACCATGAACGTTCCATAAACATGAACGCTTACCTTCATGAGATTTCAGTTTTTCGAAAAACTTGCGTTTCTTTTGCTGTTCAGTATATTTTAGATGTCTGCAGTCTTTAGATTAACCTAAAGTAATGATATAGCAATACCATCTGTTTCTTACTTATGTACCTGTGAAGATCTGGGTTAGAATTGGTCTTCAGCGATCCGTGCTTGTTGTAAGTGGCGACTAACGGGATACGGGGGTCAGACTCACTGAACTGGTTCACACATGTCATCGTATCCCAATTGCGTAAATCTATGCTCATGTTGTTGATCACTGGATTGACTGCTCTAGACTCAATTATTTACAGACCACCGCCATATAGCTGGAATCTTGCGAGTGCGACATTAAACAACCAAACCAAATCTTACTCATGTAAGAGCTTTCGCAACAGATGCCGAAGTGTATGAAATTAATATCCTTTACTTCATGCAAAAAATGTAAATGTTGTATAAATTCTATTGGAGTTTTTTATTCAGAAGTCAAACTTTGACAATACTCTGTCTTATTTATATGCCATCAATACTTAGTCTCTCTTATATGCTGTCTCCTACATCTTGGCATATATACAAACTTGGGAATCTGTAAATCCCTAAAACTATTTTGTCTGTCTTTAGATTCTACCTTACCTGATTGGCTTAAATCCTGACCAATCAAATTCCTCTCTCAGCTGCATATAAGCCAACACGGGGGTCATGGTTGTCATCACCTTAGCTCTGTCCATGTGAAGAAATTTATTCAGTGACTGACATAGCCTTTCCAAACATGGACGCTTCTGGTCGCAGCATATCATCATCATCAATCTCCTCTCTTTGCTGACATCAGTGAACTCCATCACAACCTGAACACAGAAAATACTGAGGGTAAAACTAACAATGCCCCTGTCAATGAATCAGTTCCAACTTCATACTACAACACTAACAAGCATTGTCACTAAGGTGACATAATCGCCCGCCGCAAATTATCAAATCAAACTTATAAAGTAATGAAAGTTAAATGTCAACAAAAACATGACCTGTCAACCTCTCTTGATATCTTGCTCTTTAGTTGTTCAAACACACACGTATTTTTAAGACTGACTTTGACCTTGACATGAATGTCATAGTGTTGCTTATTGAACATTCAAGGGAAGTCTTGAAAGTCTATGAAGAAATCCAGTGAACCGTTCTTGAAATATCTTGCTGACAATTCAGGTTAACATACTGAAATCTTCAAAGTGTTGTCGTGACCCTGAAAATTATGTGAAGGTCACCAAAATGGACTGGGCCCTGGGCCTTTCCTAGATGAAGCTTGGTGTCAAATATGAAGAAAATCCAGAGAATATTTTTTGCGATATCTTGCTGACTATCGTAACATGCAATTAACATGCTGAAATCTTCAAAGTGTCTCTGTGACCTTGAAAATTAAGTGAAGGTCACCAAAATCGACTGAGCCCTGCGCCTTCCCTGGATGAAGTTTGGTGTCAAATATGAAGAAACTCCTGTGAAGGTATCTCGCTGACAAGCATAACATGCAGGTTAATATGCTGAAATCTTCAAAGTGTGTCTGTGACCTTGAAAAGTAAGTGAAGGTCACCAAAATTGATTGGGCCCTGCACCTTTCCTAGATAAAGCTTGGTGTCAAATATGAAGAAAGTCCAGTGAACAGTTCTTGAGATAGCTTAACATGCAGGTTTACATGCTGAAATCTTCAAAGTGTCACCATGAATTATGTGAAAGTCACCAAAATCGAATGGGCCCTGTGCCCTCCCTAGATAAAGTTTGTTGTTGAATATGAAGAAATCCAGGGAAAGGTTCTTGAGATAGCTTAACATGAAGGTCAAGGTCACCAAACCAGACTTTGACCTTTCTTATACTTTTGAACCTAGGTACCAAATATGAAAAGAATCTAGTCAACAGTTCTTAAGATATTCCAATTCGTATGTACACGTATTGACGTACGGATGAACGGACAAAGCCTAATACTATATCCCCCGCTTCGCGCTAAACGCGCGGCAGGGGATAAATAAAACTCCAAATCAAGCATACCAGTACCTTTAGCAATTGTTTTCCTCCAAACTCAGCATATGTTCTGCACTTCTCCCCCTCCAAACCCAGCATATGTTCAGCACTTCTCCCCTCCAAACACAGCATATGTTTTGCACTTCTCCCCTTCCAAACCCAGCATATGTTCTGCACTTCTACCCCTCCAAACCCAGCATATGTTCTGCACTTCTCCCCCTCCAAACCCAGCATATGTTCTGCACTTCTCCCCCTCCAAACCCAGCATATGTTCTGCACTTCTCCTCATGTTCAAAATAAGCCTCAACCTAAACACCTCTTAACCTATGGGTTTTTTAATAGAAAGAACGAGACACTGTAATACTGAAACCTACTTTCTCGCCGAGGTCTGTAAATGTCTTGTCCTCCAAGGCCTTCTCTCGTACTTTCAATTCTTGAACATAGGGAGTTATCTCCCTTTGTTGTTGGTGCCATGCACAGTCACATGGCACTCCACTATCAGTCTGGCACTCACACTCTGTCCTGCACACCTTACATCCTTTACTCTGGTGACGTGTCACTCTTCCTAAATAAACACTGTATAGTCTAGGTCAATAACATCATCATAGCATGCTTGTTATTATCACTTATGGAGATCTAATATAGTGGAAATGTCCTCGTCCCCAAAATGCTCATAGGATGCAAAAGCAACAAAACGTTGCTGCCATGAAAATCATAGACAAAGAAAAATAGAAGATCAATAAAGATAAAGATAAATAGAAGTTTTCTGTATTTACTTCTCTGGTTGAAGGGCACTGGTTTAAGTCAGTACATACGTCAACCATAGTGAACAGAACAGTTATCACAATATACAAACTGTCCCAGAAAAGTTTGACAAAAATAATGAATCTTCAATCTTTTGCAAGAAACAAATTGTCTGCCACAAAATGTTCATAGATAAAATATAGCAAGGCTCATAGCTTAACTACAAATATCTTCTGAGCATCTGCATCTAACCTGTATGATGACATTGGGAGCAGTGTGTTTCTCTATTCATACAGTCAAGAGTGTTTTTCAGCTCAGCAAGATCTTGAAGCCTCTGACTGTCTTTCCATCCACATATTCTGGAACATATTCACAGCCCAATACATGCAGATGAATTATTCCAATGATATTTCAATGACATTCTGTGACATGATCACATGAAGTTAATGTGTGAGGGTAGAGTGTGAGACCAGCTATCATGTCTGTGGTGATTCTACAAACATGGAACCCTTGCTAGTCTGTGGTTATCGGCTGGAGTACAGATTGAAAGAGCATAAGTATCATTAAGGCATCTGGGCTTCAGATAAATGACCAGAAGATCCTGGAGCTCAGTAGGTTTATTTTTGTTTCAATGCCAAGAACCAACTCTTTAGCACATCAAGTAATTTCGGTATGAGAGCAAACAAGGACATTATACCGAGAATGTTGATATATTGTTTCCAGTTGATTAATACTTGTCTATGATTTTTGTTTATTGTTTAAAGTCACCAATATTCCACTTATTTGATGACAGCCTGTAACCAAGGTAACTAATTGAGTCTGGACCACACAATCAAGTGATTGATATGATCTCACATAAACAAATGAGCCACTGAGCCTTGCCACCTGATCCATTACATTTTGTTTGTTTGTTGTTCAACGCTGCACTCAGTAATATTAAAGCCATAAGGCAGCAGTCTGTAAATGATCAAGTCTGGACCAGACAATCCACTGATCAACAGCATGAGCATCGATCTGCACAACTGAGATACATGTGTCAAACAAGTCAGTGAGCCTGACCAGCTGATCCCATTAGTCGCCTCTTACGACAAGAATGGGTTGCTGAAGACCAATTCTAACCTGGATCTTCACAGGTGGCCCCATATGTTGAGCATAGTTTGCTGGGGACCTATTCTAACCCAGAATCCCCATGGGTCTGTAATTACTGGAACACATGACACACCACTGCAGGGCTCGATTTAAGAGATGTTAACCTACTTGCACCAGGTGCAACCTGAGATAAAAACCTAGTTGCACCAGCCAAATTCCAGCTGCACTGCTCTTATTGCAATATGTTATGAAAGGAATATGCTATTGAATTATTTAAAGTTTAGAAGAAAAATGAGCTGACATAATTATGCTTATAATGTTAGACTTATTGTCGATTTATTTCTAAAAAATTGACTTGCACCTGGTGCAAGTTAGACAAATAACTAGGTTGCACTTTGTAACATTGGGTTGCATCAGTGCAAGTAACAAAGCACTAAATTGAGCCCTGCACTGTCATGACAAAGAATAAACATATATACAATGTGATGAGTTGTTACCGTGGTTACATCACAATCTGTACAACACACCTGTTGAGAATGTCAGCTTCTTCCGTACAGTTCTGCCTCATCTCATCGAACAATGTCCTGATCTGTTCTGGACCCACCCCCTTCACTCCCCCCTTGTTGTAGTCACACCCCGACAAGAGGGCGAAGGCAATCAGGCTTCTTCTTGTGAGACAGCGCTGATCTTCAATATCAGTCATGCTGATTCTCACAGCTGACGTGTCCTGGGAATGAGTGGATGCTATTTAATGATGTAGTCAGTGAGAGTTGGTGGCCTGTTACTCCTCAAAAGACAATGCAAACCAGTGGTCAATAGCATGAGCAACAATCATCACTATCAGCATATTTCCCCGCAATCAGCCAGGGTCCTGATCCACAAAACGTTCTTAGTGCTAAGACATTAGTAAGCCTATGATAAACAGTAGCGTTACGACAGGTCGTAATGTTACGAACGCTTTGTGGATTGTGACTCTGGTCCACATTCTGACATTTTGCAGTTGGCTACTGCCATACCTCTAGTAAGGAACCTAAAATTCAGCTTGTTAAACCATATTCTTATCATGCTATGGAATTATCAATTTCAACGCTGCAACAACAGACAACTGACCTCAAAATGTTTGGTCAAATCAAGTGACTGAGACTGACCTTGAAAATAGACTCCTCATGAGATAACTAATGACTTCTCACATGATCAATACAGACTTTAGAAAATTACATGGTGTCTACACATGGTAAAACACCACACTGACGATTGTCCTGAAGAAAACCTTGTTCCAATGCTTGACAACAGCATCAGGAATAGCAGCAACAGGGGAAATCAAGCACTTTATATTTGAATTCGGATATAACAAAACAACTGATTTCGCTCGCCAAGTTTGTTAAGAGAGGACATAGACCCTAATACCTTACTCCCTTCAGTGTTCACACCTTGAGTATGACACAAATCAGGTACTGGGGATATGTCTTCCACTGAATGTATCATTGTGCGTCATGGAGTAATAGTTTAGACATTAGAATGATATGATTTTTTCATGTAGGATCAAGTGTCTGTGTTTAACGATTAAATTATGAGTTCGTAAACTTACAGATTTATCAAATTTTCTCATGATCACCTGTGCTCCATACAAGAAAGCATCACCATCTTCGGTGAGTACAGCATCAGCAGCCTGGACAATAAGGAAATAAAATATTGAAATATAAACCTCAAAATGACAAAACTAAATGCAAGCAGGTCAGGTGGTAGATACATACTGGGTTATCGTAATAATATAAGAAACTTCAGAAAGTCTCAACACTCGTAATACAGTCTCGTAATACAACAGAGTCTTGTAATACAACAGTCTCGTAATACAACAGTCTTGTAATACAACAGAGTCTTGTAATACAACAGAGTCTTGTAATACAACAGTCTTGTAATACAACACTCAGAGTCTTGTAATACAAGAGTCTTGTAATACAACAGTCTTGTAATACAACACTCAGAGTCTTGTAATACAACAGTCTTGTAATACAACAGTCTTGTAATACAACAGAGTCTTGTAATACAACACTCAGAGTCTTGTAATACAACAGAGTCTTGTAATACAACAGTCTTGTAATACAACAGAGTCTTGTAATACAACAGAGTCTTGTAATACAACAGAGTCTTGTAATACAACAGTCTTGTAATACAACAGAGTCTTGTAATACAACAGAGTCTTGTAATACAACACAGAGTCTTGTAATACAAGAGTCTTGTAATACAACAGAGTCTTGTAATACAACAGAGTCTTGTAATACAACAGAGTCTTGTAATACAACAGTCTTGTAATACAACACAGAGTCTGTAACACAACAGAGTCTTGTAATACAACACTCAGAGTCTTGTAATACAAACAGAGTCTTGTAATACAACAGAGTCTTGTAATACAACAGTCTTGTAATACAACAGTCTTGTAATACAACAGAGTCTTGTAATACAACAGAGTCTTGTAATACAACACTCAGAGTCTTGTAATACAACAGTCTTGTAATACAACAGAGTCTTGTAATACAACAGAGTCTTGTAATACAACAGTCTTGTAATACAACAGAGTCTTGTAATACAACAGTCTTGTAATACAACAGAGTCTTGTAATACAACAGAGTCTTGTAATACAACAGAGTCTTGTAACACAACAGTCTTGTAATACAACACTCAGAGTCTTGTAATACAACAGAGTCTTGTAATACAACAGAGTCTCTTGTAATACAACAGAGTCTTGTAATACAACAGAGTCTTGTAATACAACAGTCTTGTAATACAACAGAGTCTTGTAATACAACAGAGTCTTGTAATACAACAGTCTTGTAATACAACAGTCTTGTAATACAACACTCAGAGTCTTGTAATACAACAGAGTCTTGTAATACAACACTCAGAGTCTTGTAATACAACTCAGTCTTGTAATACAACAGTCTTGTAATACAACAGTCTTGTAATACAACAGTCTTGTAATACAACAGAGTCTTGTAATACAACAGAGTCTTGTAATACAACACTCAGAGTCTTGTAATACAACAGAGTCTTGTAATACAACAGAGTCTTGTAATACAACAGAGTCTTGTAATACAACAGTCTTGTAATACAACAGAGTCTTGTAATACAACAGAGTCTTGTAATACAACAGAGTCTTGTAATACAACAGAGTCTTGTAATACAACAGAGTCTTGTAATACAACAGTCTTGTAATACAACACTCAGAGTCTTGTAATACAACAGAGTCTTGTAATACAACAGAGTCTTGTAATACAACAGAGTCTTGTAATACAACAGAGTCTTGTAATACAACAGTCTTGTAATACAACAGTCTTGTAATACAACAGAGTCTTGTAATACAACAGTCTTGTAATACAACAGAGTCTTGTAATACAACAGAGTCTTGTAATACAACAGTCTTGTAATACAACACTCAGAGTCTTGTAATACAACAGAGTCTTGTAATACAACACTCAGAGTCTTGTAATACAACGCTCAGTCTTGTAATACAACAGTAATACAACAGTCTTGTACAACAGAGTCTTGTAATACAACAGAGTCTTGTAATACAACAGTCTTGTAATACAACACTCAGTCTTGTAATACAACAGAGTCTTGTAATACAACAGAGTCTCGTAATATAACAGAGTCTTGTAATACAACAGTCTTGTAATACAACACTCAGAGTCTTGTAATACAACAGAGTCTTGTAATACAACAGTCTTGTAATACAACACTCAGAGTCTTGTAATACAACAGAGTCTTGTAATACAACAGAGTCTTGTAATACAACAGTCTTGTAATACAACAGAGTCTTGTAATACAACACTCAGAGTCTTGTAATACAACAGTCTTGTAATACAACAGAGTCTTGTAATACAACAGAGTCTTGTAATACAACAGTCTTGTAATACAACACTCAGAGTCTTGTAATACAACAGAGTCTTGTAATACAACACTCAGAGTCTTGTAATACAAGCTCAGTCTTGTAATACAACAGAGTCTTGTAATACAACACTTGTAATACAAGTCTTGTAATACAACAGAGTCTTGTAATACAACAGAGTCTTGTAATACAACACTCAGAGTCTTGTAATACAACAGAGTCTTGTAATACAACAGAGTCTTGTAATATAACAGAGTCTTGTAATACAACAGTCTTGTAATACAACACTCAGAGTCTTGTAATACAACAGAGTCTTGTAATACAACAGAGTCTTGTAATACAACAGTCTTGTAATACAACAGAGTCTTGTAACACAACAGTCTTGTAATACAACAGTCTTGTAATACAACAGAGTCTTGTAATACAACAGAGTCTTGTAATACAACAGAGTCTTGTAATACAACACTCAGAGTCTTGTAATACAACAGTCTTGTAATACAACAGAGTCTTGTAATACAACAGAGTCTTGTAATACAACAGAGTCTTGTAATACAACAGTCTTGTAATACAACACTCAGAGTCTTGTAATATAACAGAGTCTTGTAATACAACAGAGTCTTGTAATACAACAGTCTTGTAATACAACAGTCTTGTAATACAACAGAGTCTTGTAATACAACAGAGTCTTGTAATACAACAGTCTTGTAATACAACAGAGTCTTGTAATACAACAGAGTCTTGTAATACAACAGTCTTGTAATACAACAGAGTCTTGTAATACAACAGAGTCTTGTAATACAACAGTCTTGTAATACAACAGAGTCTTGTAATACAACAGAGTCTTGTAATACAACAGAGTCTTGTAATACAACAGTCTTGTAATACAACACTCAGAGTCTTGTAATACAACAGAGTCTTGTAATACAACACTCAGAGTCTTGTAATACAACGCTCAGTCTTGTAATACAACAGAGTCTTGTAATACAACAGTCTTGTAATTCAACAGAGTCTTGTAATACAACAGAGTCTTGTAATACAACACTCAGAGTCTTGTAATACAACGCTCAGTCTCGTAATACAACGCTCAGAGTCTGTAGAAAAGAAGCAACATATTTCATCATGGATTTGTTTAGTTAAAGTGACTGTTGAGTCTTGGAAACTATATTTGACCTGAAATAACACATCATAACTACTGAAGAAGATACCTGTGTAAAGTTGAGATAGGCACACATCTTCTCTGCTTCCCCTGGGCTATGGACGACAGGCAGACCGAGGCTCTCAAGAAGATCCACTACCTGGAAATCATTGTAGAATGAGACTATCAAGCAGGTAAACTAACTGGAAATCATTGTAGAATGAGACTATCAAGCAGGTAAACTACCTGGAAATCATTGTAGAATGAGACTATCAAGAAGATCCACTACCTGGAAATCATTGTAGAATGAGACTCTCAAGAAGATCCACTACCTGGAAATCATTGTAGAATGAGACTATCAAGCAGGTAAACTACCTGGAAATCATTGTAGAATGAGACTATCAAGCAGGTAAACTACCTGGAAATCATTGTAGAATGAGACTATCAAGAAGATCCACTACCTGGAAATCATTGTAGAATGAGACTCTCAAGCAGGTAAACTACCTGGAAATCATTGTAGAATGAGACTATCAAGCAGGTAAACTACCTGGAAATCATTGTGAAATGAGACTATCAAGAAGATCCACTACCTGGAAATCATTGTAGAATGAGACTCTCAAGAAGATCCACTACCTGGAAATCATTGTAGAATGAGACTATCAAGCAGGTAAACTACCTGGAAATCATTGTAGAATGAGACTCTCAAGAAGATCCACTACCTGGAAATCATTGTAGAATGAGACTATCAAGCAGGTAAACTACCTGGAAATCATTGTAGAATGAGACTATCAAGCAGGTAAACTACCTGGAAATCATTGTAGAAGACTCTCAAGAAGATCCACTACCTGGAAATCATTGTAGAATGAGACTCTCAAGAAGATCCACTACCTGGAAATCATTGTAGAATGAGACTATCAAGCAGGTAAACTACCTGGAAATCATTGTAAAATGAGACTATCAAGAAGATCCACTACCTGGAAATCATTGTAGAATGAGACTCTCAAGAAGATCCACTACCTGGAAATCGTTGTAGAATGAGACTCTCAAGCAGGTAAACTACCTGGAAATCATTGTAGAATGAGACTATCAAGCAGGTAAACTACTTGGAAATCATTGTAGAATGAGACTCTCAAGCAGGTAAACTATCTGGAAATCATTGTAGAATGAGACTCTCAAGCAGGTACACTACCTGGAAATCATTGTAGAATGAGGCTCTCAAGGAGGTAAACCACTGGAAATCATTATCTTATTTGTTTATTACCAAATACATATAGTCATAGTGTATAGTAAACTGTGGTATCACTCTCTCTTCCCCCCCAACGGAATGTGGAAATTGCCATTGGTTTACTTGTCACGTCCCTTTATTCGACTAGAAATATAGTCAGTATTCTTTCATCAACCTTTAATAGCTCTAATAATCAGAAACAAACAATGGAGTGAGCTACCCAATCTTATACCCTGAGCCAGCACTGAGATATGGTCATCACCAGTAAACTTTGGAACCAGGTACTTATCCCTATGACTTATTACATCCCGTTATTCAACAAGAGATAAAGTCAGCAGTTGGGTCCACCACCTTCTAATAGGTAAATAATCAGAAACAGGTCATCAGCATTAAGTAGAAACTGCTCTGTGGTTGCTGTCATACCACTTTAGTTGCTTCCTTGTAGAGAGACCTGTCCCTGGAAGTCCTGGCGTTGCTGCCTCCTCCTGATGATCCACGCACACCCTGACGTTTGTTGAGACACCCCTGCTTCACTCTGGGAACTTCACCGTCCAACACAAACACAAGCTTCACTCCATACTTCAACAGTTCAATTGTCCGGTAGAAGATGGTTCTGTTTACAAAATCAGAACTGTTTGTCTAACATCAGTAATTACATTATACTATTTTAATCAGAAATATTCCAGAAAATGATTGATGCAAGTGCTTTTTTTTCAACTATTTCTCCAGACACTCAATAGTTTTACAGATTTTCTTGGTCTGCAGATGCTATCAGGGTTAGTGCATAAAAGCAAAGATTGGATACACGTGACTTCTTAACTAATGCTTTCAGCATGAAGTCATGCCACGCAATCATGATTTCAACTTAATTACATGTTTGAGGTCAAGTCGTCAATCAGAAAGCTGACTGTTCTCATGGTTAGTTTACAGACTGAATACATGAAGCATGTCATTATACCTGATCATGAAGAAGCGTGGAGAATGTTTGACTGCAGGGCCAGCTGACGTGGCCTGACACATCCATGCACTCAGGTCAACTGCAAGGGTCAACCCTGCACACTCAGACAGAGGCTGCAGAGTACCTAGTCCGGACAGTAACGGCCACAGTCCCGTTACACCCATGTTTCCCGATCAGCTGTACAACTAGAAAAAATATCATCATTAAATGTGACCTTGCTTATTAGAATATTCTTCTGATTGAACAATGATATTAAAGGTTATACTTATGAGCAAGGCCATATTACTCTAGGGAAGAAGACTTAAGGGTTTTCCCTGCAGGGCCCACTTGCACAAAGTGTTCTTAGTGCTACAATTGTCGTAACACTGATACACTAACATACAAACGAGTCCGGTAATTCCATGCATCCGGTAATTCTGCGCAGCTGCAATAGCGTACATCAGAATCGAAGGTAACCATCGTCTGCTACCTCATTTACGCTTGAAATCAAGGCATTTCTACAAGGGACTGGCTTTTAATCACTAAAGGTAAGGAAATAAGCATAACATGTTATTGTTTGACAGTTTTATGAAAATTCGTTTTCTTCAGACTTTCAAACCTTTTTCTTCATTATTCATAATTGGATTTAATATGAAACACTGTTCCTTACATTGATGAAGTGATTTTTGAAAATAATCTGGCCCTAATACGCTTCCATACTTCGGATCTCCAGCTGGATGTTATGCGCATCAGTTGCTGCGCAGAATTACCAGACAGCAAGCGATGTCGTCAAAACGCCGGTAAGGTGAACCGTATGCAACGTTAGAATCTTATAGTCGTCAATGAAACTTATATTTCTAGGTAAATATGATGCATACCAGCATGTTAAGTCACATAAACCACAAAATATAAGAGACGTTAGTTGCCGTGTTGCGATCGATGTACTTAGGTGCGCGGAATTACCAGACGGCATTGTATAGACTTAAGAATGTTGCAGCACTAAATTCACTTTGTGCAAGTGGGCCCAGGTGTATGTTAATTTGGGATTGAATTGTGAATAGGTGTGTGTGTGTGGAAGTGGAGAGATGGTCTGAGGATGCAAAGACACTTCACTGCTTTTTCTGTTCTGCAAAAGGTAACAGGAATGGAAAGAACTATTATAGATGACAATTTCTTTAATATATTAATTACATGTATTTGGGTATAGATTCTTATACCACTGTCGTGCTTGCAAACGTTTGTCTAATGATATTACTGTGTACATCACATCTTGTACTGTGAGTGAGAGAGTTTAGATTTACGCCACACACAGCAATATTCCAGACATATGGCGGCGGTTTGTAAATACTCGAGTCTAGACCAGACAATCCATTGATTGACCCTGGGTCATGTCTTGGCTGTATGGGATCGCATCGTGGCTCTCGGCTAGGTTATATCCACAGGCTATCGATGCATAGGATATGTTCCGCCTCTGGTCATGTCTTGACTGTATGCACAGTATGGCCATCGCGGCTCTCGGCTACACTCTACTAGACTTGCATTATCTACAGTTGAATATCGTCATACATCATGCAAATATATCCCATTGCCAACGAGTTTTAAGTACCTATAGACCAAATTCTGGTAAAGAGCGCTCCATAAACTTAAAATAATGCATAAAAGCATATCTGTTGCATCGTCGTAGTTTCCTCATGTTGTGGCGTCAGCTGTGAAGTAAGCTCCCCTCCGCGATTTGTTTGGAGGACTCCTATATGTCTGAGGGCACGCGCGCTGTACTGAGCTCGGCAGATTTACACTTCCGTAAACAAGTCTGCAAAGGGAGGGAATACAATGTTCATACCTCCAAAAGAAAGCACTCGTAAAATATCCATTTCCAATGACAATGTACTATAAACCACCAGTTTGGCTGATGATGTCTATAAAGCAAAAGCTGCTGTTATAACGTTAAAATCCCCACAGAGAGACATGGTCAAGGGTTTTATTACAGTTTCATGATGGTGGGTTTGAATCCTGGCTGGATTCTCACTGATGGGATGGTGTACACAGGTGGATCCAGAGTGGGGCGAGGGGTGCAGGGGTGGGTACCTCCCCTTTTGTCCTGAAAGTATATTAAATGACCACTGAAACTCTCGTGAAATCGGGTGAAAATGAACTGTGCACACCCCCCACCTACCCTTCTCAGAAAAGCTGTATGCGACCCCGTGTATCAGCACATGATGCCAAGTATCCGACCCTGGTGTATCAGTACATAATGCCCTGTATCCGACCCTGGTGTATCAGTACATAATGCCCTGTATCCGACCCTGGTGTATCAGTACATGATGTCAAGTATCCGACCCTGGTGTATCAGTACAAGATGCCCTGTATCCGACCCTGGTGTATCAGTACATGATGCCCTGTATCCGACCCCGGTGTATCAGTACATAATGCCCTGTATCCGACCCTGGTGTATCAGTACATGATGCCCTGTATCCGACCCTGGTGTATCAGTACATAATGCCCTGTATCCGACCCTGGTGTATCAGTACATGATGACCTGTATCCGACCCCGGTGTATCAGTACATGATGCCCTGTACCCGACCCTGGTGTATCAGTACATGATGACCTGTACCCGACCCTGGTGTATCAGTACATGATGACCTGTACCCGACCCTGGTGTATCAGTACATAATGCCCTGTACCCGACCCTGGTGTATCAGTACATGATGACCTGTATCCGACCCTGGTGTATCAGTACATGATGCCCTGTATCCGACCCCGGTGTATCAGTACATGATGCCCTGTATCCGACCCCAGTGTATCAGTACATAATGCCCTGTACCCGACCCTGGTGTATCAGTACATGATGCCCTGTATCCGACCCCTGTGTATCAGTACATGATGCCCTGTATCCGACCCCGGTGTATCAGTACATAATGCCCTGTATCCGACCCTGGTGTATCAGTACATAATGCCCTGTATCCGACCCCTGTGTATCAGTACATGATGCCCTGTATCCGACCCTGGTGTATCAGTACATGATGCCCTGTATCCGACCCTGGTGTATCAGTGCATAATGCCCTGTACCCGACCCTGGTGTATCAGTACATAATGCCCTGTATCCAACCCCTGTGTATCAGTACATGATGCCCTGTATCCGACCCTGGTGTATCAGTACATGATGCCCTGTATCCGACCCTGGTGTATCAGTACACGATGCCCTGTATCCGACCCCAGTGTATCAGTACATGATGCCCTGTATCCGACCCCGGTGTATCAGTACATAATGCCCTGTACCCGACCCTGGTGTATCAGTACATAATGCCCTGTATCCGATCCCGGTGTATCAGTACATAATGCCCTGTATCCGACCCTGGTGTATCAGTACATAATGCCCTGTACCCGACCCTGGTGTATCAGTACATGATGCCCTGTATCCGACCCTGGTGTATCAGTACATGATGCCCTGTATCCGACCCCGATGTATCAGTACATCATGCCCTGTACCCGACCCCGGTGTATCAGTACATAATGCCCTGTACCCGACCCTGGTGTATCAGTCCATAATGCCCTGTATCCGACCCCGGTGTATCAGTACATAATGCCCTGTATCCGACCCTGGTGTATCAGTACATAATGCCCTGTACCCGACCCTGGTGTATCAGTACATAATGCCCTGTACCCGACCCTGGTGTATCAGTACATCATGCCCATCCTCATTGCAAGGAGATAGACTATTAGAGTGTTTAGAAAATATAAGGTTTTACAGAGATCTTGGTCTTCCTTAACTTTTAAAAACCAGCAGGTATTTTTGTATATTTCACATCACAATGAGTGAAATGATAATAGTGATTTGCTGCATCAAACTTAACTGTGGAAGGCTAGCATTATTTCATAACCAAGGCAAATCTATGTTTGCTGGAAAGTGTGAGTTGGGTTTTAATACCGCTTTGAACAGCATTCCAGTTATATCAGGGCATGACAGTTGGGGAAGTACGACTGAAGTGATGCAGGTGAAATCCACGAGCATGGGTATGGTGCTGCTAGATCAAGATGGAACCCATGTTCATCACTGGTAGGGAACTTAGAAACAAGCTGGGATGGAACCCATGTTCATCACTGGTAGGGAACTTAGAAACAAGCTGGGATGGAACCCATGTTCATCACTGGTAGGGAACTTAGAAACAAGCTGGGATGGAACCCATGTTCATCACTGGTAGGGAACTTAGAAACAAACTGGGATGGAACCCATGTTCATCAGTGGTAGGGAACTTGGTTACAGTGAGAATGGAGTCCTTGTGGTTTTTGCGACGGAAACTTTGCGATATGTCAGTCTTTGTGATTTTAGCATCAGCAAGGGAAGGGTAAGGTACGATAAATGGCCTGTACACCTACAAATTCAATATTACAAGAGAGTTGAAATCACATTAATATACTTACAGTAGGTTTCCATCAGTAACAACTACATATATGTTGTTCAGAAACCAGTAATTGTCACGAAATTCATCCATTTTGATGAATAATCGGTATATTGTGACAAATGACCCCATAAAGAAGCGTAAAAATAATACAATGTGCCAAGTTCCAAAGAGGAACACTTTCAATGGCGTAATGTGTCAGATAATGCTCAAAGAAACAAACTGGGATGGAACATCAAATCGCGACGGAAACCGAATTGTGGTGTATTAGACAGCTGGACCATTCAGTGCCACCTGGCTGTAGGTAGCTGAACTATATACAAACCTTCAATGCCATAAAAGCTTGCTTCAGAATCGATGTCATGTTTCGTTTAAAGGCAATTCAATTTGTGGTATTTTTATGATTAGTGAGTGGCTACCCCATCGCCCCTTTAATAATTAAGATTGATGACAACTTCAAAACAATGTTGACTCAACACATGCCTGTTCATGCAATATACCGGTATTCACAAAAAGAGTTCAGACAGACAGTATTTTAGTGAAGAACTGGTTTACTTGTTGACTTGTAACTATGCTAAATTGCATATTTGACACCTATAGCTGTGAAGTCTGATCTACATGTAACCAAGCTGTAAATTGAAAACACGAACAGTTATATCCCACAGAAGGGATTATTTCCTGGCTCATCCCCTTACCAAATTCGTCCAACACCCAGTATTATTTTACCACCAGGCTACCGCATCACCCCTGATTCAGCATAACCTCTCACTACAATAGGACCATTTGTTCATGGTCCTGAACTGAATATAACAGACAAACCAACAAAATAGGAGGCAAAGATACAGCAAAACTCTCACTTGTTGTCAAGAAGCATTGGAACCTGAACCAGAGAAGATCCAGTCAATGACCACATTTCCTATACATAAACAACACAATACTCTTAATATGGTTAACTTCAGATATTTATTTTTATTCACATTTTGATGAATACATGTTAATATGTCTAACATTCAACATTTAGAATCAGCATGCTGCACCCATCAGTAAGATCAGATACCCCAAAATGACAAACTGTTATTGCACCATGACAGGAACATCACAAATCTACTTTTGACAACAGAATATAAAGTATCCTTGTGTTATGGGTGCCTAAGGACATCCTCTGTTTTCTCGTTTATCACATGAGCAATTATTAAACATGTCACTATCTTAGTAAAAACACCTTGATCTCAAACACAAACCATCATATGAGTATTTACAATGTCCTATTTAGGCAACCCGCCTAGTTGTAGTGAGTAAACACTGCCTTCCAAAAACACATATTTGGAGGATAAATTAAGGAATGAGTTGGGATTAGCACCACTTTCAGTTGTATTACAGTTTAATCTTTTTGTGGAAGGCTTATGTAGGAAGAAATATGTGATAGAGTCCAAAGACCAATCACACCCCCTGCCCCCATCTCTCATAATATACCACCAATCCAAAATTTCATGATATCTATTTCACTGCTCAAAGAATGTTTTCTACAACCTACAACTAATATTAAGCAGTTGTAAGCACCCTCATACAACAATCATATATCTCAGTCAAAGATTGTACCTGTATGTGCTTTCTAAACTTACTACATTTAGTGAAATAACTTCATGAACACTGAATATTTTAAGCATGATTGTGTTTAATGAAAAACAGATTATTTCCCTTGCGTGTTTTGCTGTCCAAAATATGACACACTGGGAATGAAACCAAATTAACTTACTCGCCAAAGGCTCTCTTAAGCTAGTGATAAGCAGTTATATTGGTGATACACAACATTTAGCTACTAACCTCTATATCCTAACAGTCATATTAACTAAGACATGCCATCTACAACACTCCATGGAGGACTTGCTTATCTAGCAATATTCCACATGATGAGATTCTCAAATAATATGAGTATTCTTGTAAAAAACATAAAAAAGCTTGCATTCTGTTACCATGTCTTACACACCTCAGACACATTCATACAACAAAGGTCATCTCAAAACAACTTGGCTTACAAGAAGATTCAAATGGTTTCCAATCTGGAAGCTAAAATGTTCTTTTCCAGTAAATACACACATAATAAATGTGTAAAATCAAGCCATACAGACAACAAAGGCCTGTTCTTTCATATCTTAAATGCAATATATCTTGTCCAATGTCACATAAAAATATGATTAATATCACAAACACTTATTTGTTTGCAAATCAGAAAACATAGTGGCTACTCCTAATGGTTGGAGTGTAAACATTTCCTTGAACTGTTTGGTAATAGAAGTCCACCTATGTACAAAATACGCTAAACTAGTTACACTTACCACATTTCAAACTGAAGTAACAGAAACCCAACAACATACAGACCTCTGGGAGCATTGAGGATCAGTGACCAGACCACAACATACAGACACAAACAATCAGATCAGTGTGGTACGTCCGTGTACAGGATTCACAGCAGTGTATGGTACAGTAAACATACAGAATGAAATATATGGTTGTTAAGACATAATAATAAAGTGCAAATCTTCCACCAAGCTACAAGTGAAACAATGACAGATGAATATACCGGAACACACAAGATCATAAAGTTGGTTGCTGATACACAAACCGAGAAGTGCAAATTCTAAATCGTGTCACAAGTGAAACAATTAAGCACTGACTGTGTATTTGCTTGGTTCACCCAGGTATGAAGAAGCCTGTCCTCCAGGTCTTGTGTATCATGTAAACATGTCTTGTTTCTGCTGCAACAATATTGCAATATCTAAAAACACCACTGCCTCATGTTTAAATAGGGGCACACCTGCAGTGGTAGTGTGACAGCTTGTAAGTACTGTGACCATCCTACTGGCTACAAACACCACATCACCCCAGGCATTAGGAAAGACCTCCAATAAATAGTCTTATTGTATTTCAGATGCAGGGTAATGTCTATATTCCTATAGTATTTTACATCCAGCGACATCATCTGTATTGTAGCATTGATGTGAGTGAGTGAGTGAGTGAGGAAGTGAGTGAGTGAGTGAGGTTTTATGCTGCTTTAAGCAATATTCCAGCAGTATCACGGAGGGGGACACCAGGAATTGGTTTCACACACTGCACTCATGTGGGGAATCAAACCCAGGTCTTCGGCGTGATGAGCGGACACTTTAACCCAGTGTATGAAGTAAAGCCCGAGACTGTCTAGATTTCTGACGGACGGCCTAAATTTACAGCTGGCCAGCCCGATGGTCTGGTAAAATATTTAGATGTTCTATACATCTGAGTAAAATTCACCATATTTGGTCTGGTTAAATTTATTTTGGGCTGGTAACATTTTGAAGTTACCAGGCCTGATGTCTGGCTGGATGTCTGGTTGGATGTTTGGCTTATTTCATACACTGTTTAACCATTAAACTACCCCACCGCCCCTAATGACATCAACAAAGGTTTCAACAATTGTTCCATCCATAGATATAATAATACAAATCTACTGTGGTGCCGCAATATATGTGCCACCACACAAAATAGAGGTCAAGGTGCTTAAAATATAAAATTTGAAAAACAAACTGAGATATAGGAACATGGCAACAGGATGACACAGTCATTATCATAAACAAGTCATTATCATAAACAAGTCATTATCATTAACAAGTCATTATCATAAACAAATCATCATAAACAAGTCATTATCATAAACAAGTCATTATCATAAACAAGGCTTGGAAACAATCCACACAATGTTGAAATATCTGTCTGTGAATCAGAGATGTAAACATACAAAAAGATATCATTGAACACATGATGAAAACAATACACAGTAAAAAACAGTATTTTATCAAAATGATTGAAAGACTTGAATATATGACTCACCAGTACCTGAATAATGGAAATCAGAGCTTGGCGACTGAGGTGTTACTGAGTGCCACACTCAGATGAAACTGTTCATCTGAACCCAACATTTGACACACCAAAGACCAATTGACAGCCAGTCAGACTGGAACTCAGTTATCACATCTTGACATAACAACGCTCTATCGTTACAAACAGTTCCTTGATGACTTGTCAGTTTAACTCATCAGATACAAAGGTTGGCATGTATCAGTAACTCACAGAGCAGGGCCCCCAACACGATCGTAACCCTAAGATGACCGTAATTCCATACTTTAACATAGACTTATGACAGTCAAAATGCTACGATCGCTTTGAGGAACAGGGCCCAGAGAGAGCTTCTGAACAGATTAAGGCAGATAGTCAAGGAAAATGAGCCAACTTCAAGTCATTTGAATGAATGAATATTGCTTTATGCCATATCAGCAATTTTCCAGCTATTCGTGGCGAGTCAGGTTACTGGAACCAATCGTTCTAATGCTGTCCATACATCATACAGGAAGACATGACTGAATCAAGTATTTCCTATCATGAGTAGTCCTATTTCTCGACCAATAGCACAGGATATGTCTCGAGACTTGCCGCCATCTGATAGTAGGGATTTGTGGTGTGATCTGTTCTGAGTCATCACTGGTTTCACATTTCGAATGTATCCCTTCAATTGACAATATAAAGAAATTATTTCGATGCAACAAAGGTATTTTGGATTTTAGAATTCCTGTACAATACAAAGGTAAGAAAGGCTGCTCCGTTAGTGACATATCTCTGACTGAACACAACAAGGCTTTCATGGAGGAGTAGGAACTACACATGGCAATGGCCAAGGGAGGTGACTCACAAGTCCTAAATGAAGTACATACCACTAATTAGTGACGCTCTACAAAGAACTCTCCCACTGGAAACCCGCTACTGGAACTTGTAACAAGTACCTAGAAGCCTATTTTCACCTATCAGTCCAGTGGAGGTAGTTACTATATCCTTAGAATAGGGGGTCTTTAAAATTGCATCCATCCATTTATATGCACGAATGTAAAACTTGGCGTTAATGTTACTTCCTCTTCCTTGATATCAGTGATAGACAACTTGATCCCACCAATCTAGGACATCTCATATGATATTACTCCAAATAAGATAAAGACCACTTACAACTGGAAGGCTGTGTTCCGTAACAGATTGACTATAGTCACATAAACAAACTGGATGCTGTTTAGCTTCTTTTGGGCAGAATGTATGAACATGACTTGAAATGTTATTATTCCATTTTGTGATTTTTTTCTGAATATTGCTGAAGATGTAGGGCTATATACCAGGCCTGGGATCAGGTCAAGATAAATCCATGATGTATGTTGCACTTGATCATGAGTATTTCTCCTGCTCTGGTTGGTGATACACGTAGCTCTGTGATGGAGGAGAGTACGGAGAAGCTGCAGCCTGCGGGAATCCTGCAGGATGACCAGCAGGAGGAGCTGATGGGTCCCCAGGTCCAGACAGTACGGACATCTGGATACATTCAGAGTAGCTCGGAGGTGCTGGGGGAAAAGGACTGATATTACAAACAAAATATTCCATCTTTTTGATTAAAAACAAAAAAATAATATTTTTACTTTAAAAATGCATTTTTTCATTTTCCTTGCCCATACTATCTGCTTGAAGTGGTCTCCACACACTGTAACCATGTGGGGAATCAAACCCATGGTTCTGGTGTGATAACTGAACGCCACCGCTAAGCTACCCAATGCCCCATATAAATAAGGATGAAACAGGTAATAATGGATTTTAAAGAAACATGTGTCATCTTACGTGGTACATCGCCACCAGGTGGAGCACTGGGAGCAGCTGGCTGATGGATTATGGGAGGTCCTGGACCACCTGAGTAGCCCTGATAGTAGCCAGTCTGAGGGATCCCTCCCTTCTGAGGATAGCCAGCAGGCAGTAAAGGCCGGCGTTCTGGTCCACCACCAGCTCCTGCTGTTAAGTCAACTTGCTCGTAGATATAAGTTTGTGGTTGTGTCATCACTGGTAGAGGTCCTCCGACAAATGGCATGCCCATGTCACCAATCAAAATCTCTGTTGATGTATTGATTTCATCACAATTACAGCCAGAGACTTCAGCTTGCAACTGAAATCAAATATACATTTCATTTGATGAACGTACAAATTTCTATTTGTTATAATGTGTTATTCCCCAAAAGGTTCATAAATGGTATCAAATATCAAATTTACTTCAGAATTTTGCTATGAATATATACCAGCAATAGGGTTATTCTTAATTAAATATACCCATAATGTGATATGCACAGCACCCACCATATTGAACAAAAGTTTTGTATACATTTCTGTGTTTGTTGGAACCAAATATTTCTGCTCCACAAGTGATCCCAGAATGACAAAGATTGCAAGCCTATGTTAAATCATGGGTGCTACAAGACCTTTACAAGGTGAAACCCCAAATATTGAACGATCTTAGTGCTATGACAATTCTAAGACTATGTTAAAGTACAGGAAATAGGATGGCACAGGGTGTGAAATGTGTTTGCTGTGGGATAAACATGGAGAAGGAATAGCAACAGCAGTCATTTTGTTGACTGTAGTATGTTGTTATATAAATGCCCTGTTTTGAGCAACAGAAGGCCTGCTTATATGGATCATTCCTGAGCCCCGAGATGCAATGGTTTGTACTTTGACAGGGAGAGAGAGAGAGTCCATTTGGATGTAATAAAAAAACATGAAGTGTACTTTATCACAGGATTAACTATTGTCTGCATCTTCACTTTTAGCACAGCATCATAAAGGAGGCTGATACAGGAACAACAACCGGCAATGGGGCAGGTACTTACACGCAGTTTATATACGATCTTGATACATGTATTCAGGGAAGGCAATATTCTTGATGGCAGAAGCTGGTCTCCAAGCTGCAACTCTGGTCTCCAGACATCATCTACTCCTGGCTCCAACTTGAAGGACGCAAACGACAGTTTCTCTGTGGCCTCCTCCCATGTATGTCCCCCAACTTCATATTCAATAGTCTGGAAGAAACATACAAACAATTTTTAAACATATTTTACAAATGTTTTAGTTTATAGTACATGATGACCTTGACGTTTTATGGATAACTTCATCTCCATATTGTGTAACAATGTTTCCAGGCTTATTCTGGCCTTCAGGGCGTACAAGTTTACCATATTTCTGAATGCTGCAAGTCGATGGTCCAAGACAATGGATCGGGAACTGGAGATATGAAGGTTCAAATTGTTTGTTGAATCTTGTTGCAAATAGATCAGTTAGCAGACAACATTACTTCTTTATGCAACTTGAAAAGCCTCCTTACATCCATTCTGTTGGCGAGGCAGAGTTTAGTTTTACAATGCTTTTAGCAATATTCAAGCAATATCATGGTGTGGGACACCAGAAATGGGCTTCACACATTGTACCCATGTTGGGATTGCACCAGAGTGTTCAGTGGCGCAAACGCTTTAACCACTAGGCTACCCCACCACTGCTTCAAGTATAACACAGATGCAAAACATATAACCAACAAAATATGTGATTACACAATGCCATTCAGAAAGAGTCGTGCCAATTTACACTTATCAGAGGGGTACACAAAGTCTGCAGTCTAGACTACCAGTTGTCCGACTTCCATTTTTGTGGAAGTCGCGGTGGCTGAGTGGGTTAGGTGCCTGACTGAGGGTAAGGGTTTGATTCCAAGATGGGACTCAACCCAACAAAAGTACTAGAATTTGTACTTTACTAACAAAGTGTAATTCCAAATATAACATATATTACATTTGACCTCTTTCTAAATGGCATTGTGTAATCATAGCTTTCGGACGTGGGAGCCATGCCAATTTACACTCATCAGAGGGTACACAAAGTCCGCAGTCTAGACTAGCAGTTGTCAGACTTCCATTTTTGTGAAGGTTGCGGTCGCTGAGAGGGGTAGTCGGTGGACTTTCTGTGCTGGCAATTAGGTGCCTGACTCTGAGGTGTGGGTTCGAATCCCGGATGGGACTCAACCCAACAAAAGTACTAGAAACGGTACTTTACTAAAAGTGTAATCCCACATATAACATATGTTAAATAAAAAATGACTTGTTGTTCAAATCAGGTGGGCTGAACCACCCCCCACCCCCAATCCAAAACTTACCTTAGTGAGCTTAATATCAGCAACGACATTGGATGGTGTGTAATTTGTCATTTCAATAACTGGTCTGACTGTTTCTCTCCTTTCAAACCCTTTCTTCGGTAAGGTAATCTTAAAACTGTAATATCCATTTTTGCAGCATAAACAACAGTTGGAGTCTTCACAAACTTCCTCATACGGGGCCTGCAGTAAAACAACAACAACATAAATACAACAAGTGTTTGCCACTGATATGGCAATGTCCCCCGCCATTAAGGAATTGAATATTTATGACATATTTACTACTTTTTATTTTTGGGTCACATACAAGGTGCCTGAAATGACTGGTGGCATAATCACCCAATGTAGGCTGTCGACATAATTGAAGACATTGGGTGCAATGTTTTATGAGATATCGCGTTAAAAAGAGTTTGAAAAGTGGTCAAAGTGTCGTGGTGACCTTGAATATAAGGTCAGGGTCACCCAAATGAACTGGTGTCTGTGTAATCCCCCAATATAGGCTGTTGGGTACAACAGTGCATGAGATATCACATTAACAAGAGTTTAAAAAGTGTTGTGATGATCTTGAAGATAAGTTCAAGGTCACCCAAATCAACAGGTGTCTGTGTAATAGTACAATAGTTCATGAGATATCGCGTTAACAAGAATCGGTACGTATGTACGGATGCCGCTGAATACAACAATGAGCTATTGACGACATACTTTCATTTATGTTCTAATATAGATTATTCCACCATTATCAAGGTATGCAGTAAACCAAAGTTTTTTTCATTTGAAAATTACATTGAAGAAAAATAAATAATTTTTTCATTCCAACACTATAAACAAACCTGTGTCCAATCATAGTGCTTGATATCCAGCTAAAACACAATCGTTGACCAAATGTCAGCCTGCTATTTGACAGAAAACACACATGCCCTATAGTTCTCTCTCTGGTACTGGTGAGCTAACATCTTGGCTTTAGTCATAACTTTGGTCCTGGAGAGCTAACATCTTGGCTTTAGTCATAACTTTGGTCCTGTAGAGTTAATAAAATTGGCCTTATAATCAAGTTTGATACTTGTAATATAGCTTGGACTTTGGCATGTTAGGATGATAATATGTTTTTGAAAATAACATGAATTCTAATTTTGATAATTACCAAGGCAGATTCTGATTGATTCAAGTCAAACAAGCCATGTATCTGGAAATCCTTCCGACATGTGATGTCAGCTCCATATGGCCTCTGGTCAATGGAGGCCTCTATCCAGTACGTGATGAAGCCATGACCTCCCTTGAAGGAGGAGGGCAAAGAAGCAGGGACTTCAAATCTGAATGGAAGCTGATGCTCTCCTGGAGCTAGAAACCCTTGAGTTCTACAATCTGAAACAGATGACACACACACATAAGTCATTATTCCAGGCTGTTAAATCTCCCAGGGTTGTTCCTTCTCCTTGTCACATGATATAGGACATACTTTCTAGGGAATATAAACTCATAGCATTGCCATCATGATGTTCACACCTGTGGTTACTAACAGTGGGCTGAGCCTCACTTCCATAGTAGTAACCTTGGTTTTAGCACATAAGTTACTTTGGTTACTAACCTTGGTTTTAGCATAAGCTACTTTGGTTACTAACCTTGGTTTTAGAATAAGCTACTTTGGTTACTAACCTTGGTTTTAGCATAAGCTACTTTGGTTACTAAGCTTGGTTTTAGCATAAGCTACTTTGGTTACTAACCTTGGTTTTAGCATAAGCTACTTTGGTTACTAACCTTGGTTTTAGCATAAGTTACTATGGTTACTAAGCTTGGTTTTAGCAAAAGTTACAGTGGTTACTAGCCTTGGTTTTAGCATAAGTTACTATGGTTACTAACCTTGGTTTTAGCATAAGCTACTTTGGTTACTAACCTTGGTTTTAGCATAAGTTACTATGGTTACTAAGCTTGGTTTTAGCAAAAGTTACAGTGGTTACTAGCCTTGGTTTTAGCATAAGTTACTATGGTTACTAACCTTGGTTTTAGCATAAGCTACTTTGGTTACTAACCTTGGTTTTAGCATAAGTTACTATGGTTACTAAGCTTGGTTTTAGCAAAAGTTACAGTGGTTACTAGCCTTGGTTTTACAGTTACTATGGTTACTAACCTTGGTTTTAGCATAAGCTACTTTGGTTACTAACCTTGGTTTTAGCATAAGTTACTATGGTTACTAAGTTGGTTACTAACCTTGGTTTTAGCATAAGTTACTATGGTTACTAAGCTTGGTTTTAGCAAAAGTTACAGTGGTTACTAGCCTTGGTTTTAGCATAAGTTACTATGGTTACTAACCTTGGTTTTAGCATAAGCTACTTTGGTTACTAACCTTGGTTTTAGCATAAGTTACTATGGTTACTAAGCTTGGTTTTAGCAAAAGTTACAGTGGTTACTAGCCTTGGTTTTAGCATAAGTTACTATGGTTACTAACCTTGGTTTTAGCATAAGCTACTTTGGTTACTAACCTTGGTTTTAGCATAAGTTACTATGGTTACTAAGCTTGGTTTTAGCAAAAGTTACAGTGGTTACTAGCCTTGGTTTTAGCATAAGTTACTATGGTTACTAACCTTGGTTTTAGCATAAGCTACTTTGGTTACTAACCTTGGTTTTAGCATAAGTTACTATGGTTACTAACCTTGGTTTTAGCATAAGCTACTTTGGTTACTAACCTTGGTTTTAGCATAAGTTACTATGGTTACTAAGCTTGGTTTTAGCAAAAGTTACAGTGGTTACTAGCCTTGGTTTTAGCATAAGTTACTATGGTTACTAACCTTGGTTTTAGCATAAGCTACTTTGGTTACTAACCTTGGTTTTAGCATAAGTTACTATGGTTACTAAGCTTGGTTTTAGCATAAGTTACTATGGTTACTAAGCTTGGTTTTAACATACAATACTATGGTTACTACAACTTGTGCCATTCGGGAATGAAAGTGGGGATAACACATGAAGAGCTGATGAGAGGAGGTTGCCCTCTATCATTTGTTCGTTTCTAGAAATTCCAATAATGCAGCTAGACAAAAGTCTCTAAATACGTCTGGACAACACAATAAAGTGATCGATGTCATGAGCATTGATCTACATATCTGGATATGGTGACATGCAAGTAAGATGCAAAGTCAACCATGTTAACATGCCTAACTGTCCCCAATTACTGGCTCGTACGACAAACATGGGTGCCTGAAGACCAGTTCCAACCGAGATCTTCTCAGGCCCTGTTACACATAATTTTAAATACAGACTATCATGCAAAACTCTCGAAACAATGTACAAATCCTTTATCTTACCTTTATTTGACTATTGCTGTCTTTTCTGGGACAATGGTACAAACGAACAGTCCATGTCACTAGAGCACCTTCACTTAGATGCCTTACGCACAATATGTGGTGCAGTTAGAGGTACGAGCCATGCGAAACTATATCATAAGACAAACCTGACTTCCTTAGCGAAACTGCGAGAAATTTCAAAATTAACATTATTTTACAAAATGGTAAACCATATGGTTCCTGACTATCTTTGTGATCTTGCTCCAGGGAATGTTTCTGATAACAGTAACTACAATCTTAGGAATAATGAAAATTATCGAACTATAAGATGCAAATCTACTAATTATGCCAAATCATTTTGCCCGATACAATTAAACTGTGGAATGACCTACCTACAAATGCGACAAATGCTTCCTCTGTTGGACAGTTTAAGAATTTAATCACACCACAAGTTAATACCAACACAATGTTCGATCTAAATTTTGTTAGTCGATTCTGTCAAATAATACATTGCTGCTTTAGGTTGGGATGCAGTGACTTAAACAGTGATAAGTATAATCGTTTCATTTCTGATAATGCTTCTTGTTCCTGCTCACAAGATTATGAGGATGTATTCCACTATTTTTTCATAAATATTTTTTGCATCTGTCCTAAGTATGAAAGCATTTGATACGAATCTTATTTCTATGAAAAAGGTAATAACTCAGTATCACATCAGACGAATATGGATATTCTAAGGTCAGTCCATCAATTCATTATTACATCAAAACGATTTGATTCATAAAAGTTTTTGTAGTTTCTATTATTTTCCTATTTGTATCAACTGGCCATGAAACAAAACCAAGATAAATTGTTGATATCCAAGATTGTTATTATTCAGAGATCACTTGTTATAACTATTATAAAAATGTACAACATTACGCATAAATGTGAACCTTCACATGTATTATGGAGCGGCATTAATATAAGCCAATTAGGCTTGTTTGCCAATCCTTTTCTTTCTTCTTGAATGGAATAAAATATGTTTAAACATAATAACAATGATAAATAATAATTACCTAACAGCTGAAGTTTTGGCAAAATCATTAGGTCTCTTTCCTCATGGTGCTCATTGCTACTCAGACTTTCTTGGGCTTTTTGAAAACTTTCATTCATAAGTCTGTACACTTTTTCTGAGCCTGCAAACCCGTCAAAAACACAAAGGAGTCCTCGAGCAGACAGAAATATCCCTGTAAAAGTGTAAGAAGAAACAGATTGAAGAAGAGTTGTTAATTCTTAGAGTTGTCAAATTTTTTATTGAGAAGTTTCATTATAACGATGTCAAAGGTGAGGTGAAATGGAGTTTGACGTCGTACTTAAGAATATTTCATTTGTATGATGACGAGCATGTGTGTGTGTGTATGTGTGGCTGCTTGTACTAGCCCAGACTTATGCTGGTTTTATAGTGCTAGCTCACAGAGATACCATGCCAAAGTTAAGCATGAATACCCCACTCAGAGTAAGACACATTATCATGACTCCGAGCCGGCCAATCCTTGTTGTACCCATTAATGCCGAGTGCCAGGCGGGGACCAACAATTTCTATATTTTAATGTGTTTTGGTATGACGTGGTCGGGGATCGAACCCACAACCTTCTGCTCTCTGGGCGGACACTCTAACCACTGCACCACAGAGGTGGTACTGGTAATGATGTCAAATATGATATACAAAAAGGAATTAAAGGACATTAATTTAAATCAATGTCACTCATTTACAGGTATAATGGTGAATAATATAACAGACACGTTCAAGATCCAATGGTGTATAATATGGTATTTGTACTACACATTCAAGATCCCTGGTATATACAATGGTGTATAATATGGTATTTGTACTACACATTCAAGATCCCTGGTATATACAATGGTGTATAATATGGTATTTGTACTACACATTCAAGATCCCTGGTATATACAATAGTGTATAATATGGTATTTGTACTACACATTCAAGATCCCTCGTATATACAATGGTGTATAATAAAAATTAACATAGTATCTGTACTAAACACAATTAAAATAACACATATATAAAAGGATGTGTAACAGAGTGTAAATATGCGTTAACCTGTTCGCTGCTTCACCATCTTAACAGCTGGTAACCCTGTTTGATTCATTCACTCAGTCACTTATAACTCTTTTTATGCCCTTCTCATTATAATGATAAATATAAGATGAACAAAGGGAGGGACCGGCAAAATATGTACCCGTGATTACCATTGCATCGTAGTAATTCAGAGACCGTTACTCGCAGCACCCCTTCAACATAACTTCCGGGCTTGACCACTTCGATCAGGGGTCTTTGTGACGGGTTCGTATTCCATACATCTTGGAGACAACTGTCGTTCAGGGTGATGGAAAATAGCTCTGGGTAAACTGGATATGCCATTTCAACGGGACAACATCTCGCGTATCAGCAAATATACCAAATCCGAGAACGTGTGGTTGTTGTTGTAAAATGTCAGGCACGAGCTCAGGATTGGGCAGAGCACAGCGCAACAGCGACAACAGCGAACCTTCTTTCCGCTGTGAGGAGCTCAGAAATTTTGCAATCGCCAGAGGTCGGCACGTTCCGTGATTCATAAGGAAATGCCCAAAATAGATTGATTTGCGGTCAAAAACAGGCAGTGGAGTACCAATCCCCTTATCAGTGTCAGGTTAGTGTGTCGTTACTGAAACAGTAGAATAGCAGTAAAGAATATTGAGAAATAAACAGGAGTGAGGACACCCCTGCTCAGTGTTTATCTTTCGCAATGTGAGTAAAACACCGTTCAATTTCGAAATAAACGAAGCAGTTGTAAAATCCGTCAAATACTTTGTGTATGCTCACCAGGTTTCAAGGTCATCACAAAATAATATTGAGCCATGCCTGCAATGGCTGCAGTCATATGTCCTACATCTGGGCCCAAATTGTCAAAACGCTTCTTGCATAATCTCTGTGATATTTACTTAAATGGAAATATGTGACAAACTGTAGGAGAAGTTGCCCCGTGTCTTGCCATTGACTGATGATGTGTGTGTCAAAATTATATCTTGTAGTTTACTTCCGACCTACAGCGTTTCTCCTAAATATTGGTTTAAATATCCAACGCCTTGTTTCCAAGTTTGAATATACAGAGTGAGTTAGTTTTTAGCAGTAGGGCGAAGCGAGGTAAGTACGAAGGTGAGGACGGAGGTGAGGACTAGATGGTAGAGACAAACACTACGGCAGGAGACATATTAATTTTTATAATAATTCATACAAAATATGACACCATACAATTGTTATTACCACCATTACAGATGTTGGAACAACGATTAAAACACTAGTACATAAAATGTTATTTGAATTTGAACAAACACTTCAAGGGTGGTCATCATAATCAAATTTACTTGTTACACCCATAAGAAGCAATACCATTCATAACAATCACACGGTTTTTGAGCTAGCGTATGATTCCACTGAAGTTTAAAACACACATTTCAATGATTACAGTGTCTAATCAGCCAGTGGACAAACACAATGCATATACACTTTATATGTCTTACACATACAAACATCTGCACCAAACACCTGCCGGAATGACGCGGTGTGTTGATTGCATCTATGTCGAATGGACTCACTTTATCATGTATTTGTATCAACTAAAATATTATTAAATCATTTTGATACATTTTTGCACTTCTACTTGTATATAGAAAAACAGCGTTAATGTACAGCTTGTTACACGATTGTATACAACATACGTGACAACATGAAACATACAGCTTTATGGACGACAAATTCATGTCAATTCGAACTATTGACTCTATCAAGGCACCCTCTGTCAAGGCACCCTCTATCAAGGCACCCTCTATCAAGGCACCCTATCAGCTTGTTGTTCAGCTTGTTGTTACTACTTATTTCCCCTTGTGTACTGGCTGCAACACTTGTGCTATTTGTTGTTCTTAGTCCCCAAATGGCCTCTTCCAATTACGTACCACTTGTTATTCAAATACATGCTGTTAATGTTAATCTGCTGTTTGTCATTACATACCATGTATATATGTGTCTCACCATTTGGTTGTAGTCACATTAGCTTGATAACGATTAAGAATCTGCATCGAAACGTTGCTCTATGCAATAAACAAGAAGTTGTCATCCATTAAGTTGTATGCTTCATTTTGACTCACCAACTTCTAGAATGCCGATCAAACAATACTACGTGACGTCGTACGGCGTGCATGGCCTCGTTTACTAATTAAACTGACTGACTAATTAAACAATAGGTCGAAACATGGGATTGCTTTTGCATGATTCGTTCGACATTTCACACACTTCTTTATACGGTGTAACACTGTCAACCGTTTGTAACGTATGGAATCTGTCCAAATGGTTTGAGTCTCTAGCCAACAGCCCGGGAAAATAATTCACTAACCCGGGTCTGCTGTCTCTGGTAGTGTTATAAATAACATTATTATTGAGGCTCGTTGACATTTATACTCCGTCACCCAGCACATCTCATGGTCCATGCGCCGACAGCCATGAATTGTGCCGATACCAAAACAATCACCAGAGGGATTATTAAAACTCAATGCTCAAGACTTCAGTTTATATCGATTAATTTCCAGAAATATGAACTGCCGGATAACGTCATTTGCGAAAGGCAGGACGACAGCGCCCCCTACAGAGCAGTATACGGGTGTCATTCATACCCACGACAATACACGTTCATTCCAAAACTTACAAACCTACACCAACCATATTCCCAAACACAAGTAATGGGATATTTTGACATTTTAGGACTAATCTAGAATCCTCAAAGCAATACATATCGACCCAAAGATATTCAATGCAATTGAAATCATACCACATTTCATAACCTTCGTTGGATCCAGGGTCTCCTTTCACGAAGCAACCTTTACTAAGGTTAACCTTAACTCCCATTCTTTAACATTGCACTAAGGTTACCTTAGTGACTTACGATCATCTAAGTGCTTTGTGAAAGGAGGCCCTGGGGGTCCTTTCACGAAGCAACCTTTACTAAGGTTAACCTCAACTCCCATTCTTTAACACTGCACTAAGGTTACCTTAGTGACTTACGATCATCTTAGTGCTTTGTGAAAGGAGGCCCTGGGGGTCCTTTCACGAAGCAACCTTTACTAAGGTTAACCTCAACTCCCATTCTTTAACACTGCACTAAGGTTACCTTAGTGACTTACGATCACCTTAGCGCTTTGTGAAAGGAAGCCCAGGACAATAAATATTACCTCGGTGGGATAGCACACGCTCACCTCGCCTAGTGGTTAAAGCGTTCAGTTGTCATGTCGAAGCCCCGGGTTCGATTCCCCACATATGTATAATGCATAAAGCCCGGTGTCCGGGGTCCCAAACACTGATATTGCTGGAATATTGCTATTCATGAGCGGCGAAAAATCGCACTCGCTCACTTCAAGAGACTGCATCTTTATCTACAACCCCCTGTAAAGACTACAGAACCTGGGGACCGGTGTCTCCTTAAGACAACACCGAGAACTCTTTTGTATGGCTTTACAGAATATACCTGTCCACTGTATAGCATAGTAATGGATTTCGACCACAGTCAATATTCTGATTTGAATGAAAGGCTCCAAATTGCTCAACAAGGTTGAATAGAGACAGGGATTTCTTGTGAATGTAGTCTGATGAGGATTGTTTAAGTATTCCCGGAAGTGAAATATATGTTGACGGGAACTGTGACGGGATGAGTGGGTGAATGTCATAATCCTGGAGTCAGCAAAGTTCCAGCTAAATCTCCCTGGCTTATATCGCGAGCATTTACGACAATATCAGGTGATACAGCGGGTCACTTTCGCCTGGGTGTCTAGACTACCTGAATGTTTCACATCGTCTATTGTAGTAACATGGGGGCGTAGACATGGCTACAGTGTACGCTCGTCCCACCGATGGCCCGGGTACAAAGTGTGCACCCCCTTTCTCGTATCCCTTGCCGTGATATTGCTAAAACATCACTCATTCATGTTTATTAATTATGCCATGACTGTATGAATAATTCAGATACAAGGACGCCCCATGAAAGATTCGAAATACAGTGGCCGAACAATGTTTTACGCAGATCTTCTCTCTGTTTCCCCACTATGAAAACCGTGAAGACTTTACAGGGAGTCTTTAAGGGTTTCATGTCGCGTGTACTCAGTCCGAGTCTGACGCCGTATCCCCGGCGTCACAGGCCGCTAGTCATCTACCCCGGGCCCTCAGGATGCTGGAGTTGGTGTTGGCCCGGGGACGGGGAGGGGTGAAGGCTGAGGGTAGGGTAAGGTAGTCGTCATGGTGATGGTTGAGGGAGGAGGACCGGGTGTCCACCGCTTCAGGGGACGACGACAGGTGACCTGGAGACTTGGACCGATGCAACGTCATCTCGTGTGCCGGCGATGCTGCAATGTAGTAGTTGCAGTATAAATGACCGTTTCATTATACACCGGTGATACAATGTGATTGGTTATTGAGTTCATCACAAATTCATACAAGTTTCACAATCATGTTGCCTTCTATACACTTCAGAATAACTGTTTTGGCAGATAAGGAAATGGTAGCATGGAAGAACGAATCTTGGTAAAAATATATAAGGATGCTATTGACAGGGTAATCGGGTAACAGCAAGATTTGAGGTGTCCCTTTCCATTAATTGGTAGACTATATGAGGTATTCTTTTATGATCTCGCAAGATAGTACAGTAACAAAATATCGAAAAGCTCAGCCACGATAATCCCACGGCTAAATATACACGAATGTGAACACAGTGTTTTGGCATACGAGGAGTTCCGTCACAAGTTTTTTGGGAGGTCAGGTGGGCTTAAAACATGCAAAACGAAAACAAATCTACAAGTCAATAACAAGGGTTGACCTCTTGGTTAAGCCATTTTCGTGGCAATAGACCTTCCATGACTCAGTCGGTTAAGCCTCTGTGCGGAGAGCTGAAAGTCTGTGGTTCGATCTTGATGCCGCGACACAACAGAACACGTTATAAGATGATTGTTGTTACGTTGCCTGAATCTCAGTGAAAGGGAACAGTATTGGTCGGATTAGACAAACGCATAGTCTCTGAATATATATAACTTTCATAGTAACAAATACATGTACACCCATTTAAATTGAAAAGGAGCCCCAGTGAAATGGGTGATCCTGTACCCGAGGAACCTGAACCTCTAAACTTGCTTCATTTAGGGCTTTTGCATTGCAGGGTGGGCTTGACAGTAGGGCAAACAGGGACTGTGAGGCCGACTATAGTCGGATCGGAGTTGTATACACTGTACGAGTAATGTATGGAACTGTGAGGCAGACTATAGTCGGATGGGAGTTGTATACACTGTACGAGTAATGTATGGAACTGTGAGACAGACTATAGTCGGATGGGAGTTGTATACACTGTACGAGTAATGTATGGAACTGTGAGACAGACTATAGTCGGATGGGAGTTGTATACACTGTACGAGTAATGTATGGAACTGTGAGGCAGACTATAGTCGGATGGGAGTTGTATACACTGTACGAGTAATGTATGGAACTGTGAGACAGACTATAGTCGGATGGGAGTTGTATACACTGAACGAGTAATGTATAGAACTGTGAGGCAGACTATAGTCGGATGGGAGTTGTATACACTGTACGAGTAATGTATGGAACTGTGAGTCAGACTATAGTCGGATGGGAGTTGTATACACTGTACGAGTAATGTATGGAACTGTGAGACAGACTATAGTCGGATGGGAGTTGTATACACTGTACGAGTAATGTATGGAACTGTGAGGCCGACTATAGTCGGATCGGAGTTTGTTTTCACCGCACGAGTAATGTATGGAACTGTGAGGCCGACTATAGTCGGATCGGAGTTGTATACACTGTACGAGTAATGTATGGAACTGTGAGACAGACTATAGTCGGATGGGAGTTGTATACACTGTACGAGTAATGTATGGAACTGTGAGGCCGACTATAGTCGAATGGGAGTTGTATACACTGTACAAGTAATGCATGGAACTGTTCCAAGACCGTCGTAAGTCTGGACTTACGTCAGCGTCAGCGACGCCCCCCCGCACACTTAGGGGAAACTACATCTGTTATAATCCCTGACGCGACCTTCAACTCAATTCGTCCTCACGGCGTTAAGTGTGTCTCCTTAGTGGTCGGCACCTAGTTCAGAAATAGTAGAAATATCACGTTTTGTTGGAGTTACGCCTCGGTTTCTGTGTTACGTGACAGTCGGGTTCAGCCTGAGGTCTGATGCTCCTGTCGTTCGTAATGCAACTGCAAGATGCTTGACATTTATATTGCGGAGGTCTGTGTGGCCTGACGCGATTCGAAGTCTGTGCTGGTCCTTATCGATTAAAATAACATAGCGATGGTTTTTTCGTCAAGTGAATTCTAAAAGCATTCAGTTAAACGTAACAAGAAAATTATTTTCGACATCAGGCTATTTTTCTGAATCGGACATTTTGACTTTTTGTGCGATACAGGGTATATGTATAGAGAACTGCACCGCATGGTACTACAAGTCACTGTATTGTACTGTCCTGTACTGAACTACACTGCACTCGACTAGTGTACTCCACTATTATACTGTACAACACAACACTACACTAAATTATATTGTACTGTCCTGTACTACACAGCACGACACTGTACTGTTCTAAACTGTATTGTTCTACACTGCATTTCATTGTGCTGTACTGCCCTGTACCCTACAACAGTACACTGTACTTTTTTATACTACACTGTGCTTTTCTATTATTACACTGTACGCGTATACTGTACTGTACGCATTGCATTGTACCGAAACGTATATTACTATATATTATTATAGTGTATTACACTGTGCTGTATTGCATTGTACCGAAACGTATATTACTATATATTATTATAGTGTATTACACTGTGCTGTATTGCATTGTACCGAAACGTATATTACTATATATTATTATAGTGTATTACACTGTGCTGTATTGTATTGTACCGAAACGTATATTACTATATATTATTATAGTGTATTACACTGTGCTGTATTGCATTGTTCCGAAACGTATATTACTATATATTATTATAGTGTATTACACTGTGCTGTATTGCATTGTACCGAAACGTATATTACTATATATTATTATAGTGTATTACACTGTGCTGTATTGCATTGTACCGAAACGTATATTACTATATATTATTATAGTGTATTACACTGTGCTGTATTGCATTGTACCGAAACGTATATTACTATATATTATTATAGTGTATTACACTGTGCTGTATTGCATTGTACCGAAACGAATATTACTATATATTATTATCGTGTATTACACTGTGCTGTATTGCATTGTACCGAAACGTATATTACTATATATTATTATAGTGTATTACACTGTGCTGTATTGCATTGTACCGAAACGTATATTACTATATATTATTATAGTGTATTACACTGTGCTGTATTGCATTGTACCGAAACGTATATTACTATATATTATTATAGTGTATTACACTGGTATTGCATTGTACCGAGGCGTATATTACTATATATTATTATCGTGTATTACACTGTGCTGTATTGCATTGTACCGAAACGTATATTACTATATATTATTATAGTGTATTACACTGTGCTGTATTGCATTGTACCGAGGCGTATATTACTATATATTATTATCGTGTATTACACTGTGCTGTATTGCATTGTACCGAAACGTATATTACTATATATTATTATAGTGTATTACACTGTGCTGTATTGCATTGTACCGAGGCGTATATTACTATATATTATTATAGTGTATTACACTGTGCTGTATTGCATTGTTCCGAAACGTATATTACTATATATTATTATAGTGTATTACACTGTGCTGTATTGTATTGTACCGAAACGTATATTACTATATATTATTATAGTGTATTACACTGTGCTGTATTGCATTGTATTGTATTACACTGGGCTGTGTTGCGTTGTTTTCTATTGTACCGTGTTACATTGTACTGTACTGTTGGCGCCTGCTGCTATTTCTGGTGATAGTCACTCAGGAAAGAAGATTTCTCTACTTACACGTTGTGGTGTACTGAGAGCCGGAGGTGCTGGGAACTTCGGGAGGGATGAGCTGAAGCCCCACCCCGCTGTCACGTCCATACGCAGAGGTCACTGACCCTTGTCTTAAAGGTACTGTCCCCACAATCAGCTCTATAGGGATCTTCATTAGCTTGAAGGACAGAGCTGAGGGTTTCACTTTCAGCTGGGAAATAGGAACATAGTCAGATTAAAACGCCTCTCATCCTCGATCATCAAGGGAATTATATATCTATTATATGTTGGTAAATACCCTGGTTCCTTTGGTAAGGGTAGTTTCGTTCGGAGTTCGATTTGAACATCGCCAGTTTTAACCTTTCACGCAAAGTTGGAGTGAGTGAGTGAGTTGTAACCCATGCTTTGTCGTGAGAGGCGACTAACGGGATCGGGTGGTCAGACTCGCTGACTTTGTTGACACATGTCATCGTATCCCAATTGCGTAGATCGATGCTCATGTTGTTGATCACTGGATTGTCTTATCCAGACTCGATTATTTAAAGACCGCCGCCATATAGCTGGAATACTGCTGAGTGCGGCGTAAAACTAACCTCACTGTCTCATCGAAAAACCGGAATGATTCAGATGTACACCACCTTGGTCAAACCCAACAGAAGGGGTATGTTGCTGACACCCAGAAGCATAATGTTTGTGGGTGTGGGGTGGGGCGGAGTGGGGTGGGGTGTGTGGGTGTGGAATGAAACCACTTCACGGAGACTGGGAGGTCGATGTTACCATCCACTCAAACATGTTTTGCGTGCTTGGTATGTTGGAGCCCCGTATCGTGTGTTGGGATGGTGGTGCAGATCCTCATCGATTAAAACAGCTTAGTGATATTACTTCTGTCAAGCTAATTAATACGTTACATGTAATACGTCATTTATGACATAGAGAATCTCACCCAAGTGTCTTCTGATATCAATTATATCATCACGAGTTGATAAAGTTAGAAATATCCGAGGCTTGCCGAGGATATTTTTACTTTATCAACGAGTGTTGATATATTTGATATCAGAAGACACGAGGGTGAGATTCTATTTATCATCCAAAATCACTCTTCATTAATTTTCAATGAAAAATGTACATCTCTGAACATGGTACTGCCATTAGACTTGCAGTGCAGCGATGTCATAGCATTGTGACGTCATCAAGTACATGACGTCATAGCATTGTCAGGGCATTGTACAAAATCTACTGTCAAAACGATATCTCCTAGGAGATATCGTTTGATCTCACACAAGCGATATCTCCTGTGGAACACAGTTTTGGATGATAAATGCTATTTTCTCTGAGATCGGAACTTTGAGTATTTTTGCAAACTGGGAATGCGTGCAACGAACTATATTTTATAAAGGAAATAATCTTGACCACAAAATTCACACTCATTTGATCTCAAATCTTCCACAGTGGTGGCAATGGTGCAGCACGTTGGGTTAAGGGTTCGCTAGTTGCGGAGAAGGCCCGGCTTCGATTCTGCACATGAGTAAGTGAAATATGGAGCCCCGCGACGCGATCTTACTAGAATACTGGCAGAAGCATCCGCCGATGACCCGGTTTCGATTCCTCATATGGTTGGGGCGGTGGGGTAGCCTAGTGGTTAAAGCGTTTGCTCGTCATGCCGAAGGCCCGGGTTCGATTCCCCACATGGGTACAATGTGTGAAGCCCTTTCTGGGGTCCCCAGCCGTGATATTGCTAAAAGCGACGTAAAACCATACTCACTCACTCCTCACATGGGTACTATGTATGATGCCTACTTCTGATTACCCCCGCCGTGATATTGCTTGAATATTGCTAAAAGCGGCGTAAAACTAAACCCACTCACTAACTGGTAGATCACTGGTACATCAAATACACATTCCCTCACTCTATCATCAACCCTCACCATCACTTTATGGTATGTGTGTATGAGGCTACACCCACGCAGGTTTCCCGGGGGGCAGAGGGGCAGACGCAGCTTGTTTTCTCTCTTCTCATAGGAGGTTCTGGCAGGTATCCGTCCGAACTTCAACTTCGCCATCACTCGTTCTGTACTCTTGTCCTGACTCCTAGCCTTGTAGTCTGTGATCTGTCTCAGTTCCACGGACACTCGGTGGACATCACGTGCTGTGTCATTCCTGATGGCGAATTTTAAGGGGATTATCTCCCCTGGAACGAAACCTTTACGATCTAGACGCAAGGCTGCGTTACAGACGCCTGACGGTGAGAACAACGCTGAGACCTTCATACTGTCAACCACCTCAACGTACTCCTGCAAGGTCAAGGTCAACAGTAAATAGCTTAAAGCTTAACGAAATACAGAACATGGACAAGTCTGCCATGAGTACACTTGCACTAAAGTACTGTCGGAAATAGAAAAAAACGGTTTTTAGGCTGTTGCTCTGTATCCCGAAAATTGACACAATTGCAAATAGCATATGTCGAAATAACCCACTTCGGCCTAACTGGGCGTTCAGTGGGATGCGTAATACGATATCCAGAAAAGCATGTTTACTCGTAAAATCGGGCAAAACTTAGAAATATACGAATAGCTGCTGAAAACAATAGATCAGACTGTAGATGGCAATTAGGTCGCTCAGCCAGGTATGACGACGGACCGTCGACTCACCTGGCATGAAATGCACGTGCTGCCTACAGGCACAAGGGGTCATCTCAAAGATATTTTGTGCTTTTTCATGTGTGTTGACTATGTCTCATCTACTGATTAACATCTTACGTGTCTTTCTCTCATAAAGTTTATGTTGAGATATGTAATATCGGTTAATGGAAACGCATTGCAACCCTAACCTAAATTATATTTATCATGACACACCTATGTGCTATTTCAGACCCCCCAAAACCCGAAAACCATAGAAACGCATCGTAGTATATAGGTGGCATGACCACCCGAAGATCGACAGGACTGGATATCATTTGTAAATTGTTATGACGTGCCGTGTACCTCCCCAGTATAATTGCCCTAAAGGATTATCTTATCTTAGCTGATATCTCTATCCCCAAGCCCGACCCCAGGTTTTGCTTTTGAGGCGACCCCTCCTATCTGTTTCTTTTTATAGTGACAGTGAGACTGCATGGTAGCTACATCCTTAATAGTTTCGGCATAAAAGTTATTATTTTTTACGTCAGCTATCGTTTATAATGAAGCTACGTCTAATTTCAAATTTGGCATTTAAAAAGAGTCCTTTGTAATACAATATCGTTGCACACTAATTTGCATAAAGCCATGGTCTGTTCCAAATAAGTCTTTTTGGACTTACAAAAAACCCGCATTGCTCATTTCTGCACTAATTTCCCCTCAGTAAAGTCCTTTTTCTCCGTTTCCTATCTCTCTACCACTGAGACTGTAGTTAGGCCGAACTTAGTTTAACAGATATTTCACACTTTCACATATCAACTACATAAATTGTAGAGATAAATGAGAAAATACAGTTATTTTCTATTTCCGACAGTACTATAGGACCTATTCCAGAAAGCAATAACTTACACCAAGTATCGAAACTTGCTTCCAGACCATATTCAGACAAGACGATCATGGTACAGTAAGAAACGCATTAGGAAAGAAAGCTCCGTGAGGCTTGTGTAGTTCAAATGGCTGCTTTAGAAACATTTCCTCTTAAGCATTGAGATCCCTTGATTTCATGGTGCAATAAAACCGTCGCAAAAAGGTAATTGTACGTACGTTGGCGTCTGGTATTTCATTAAGATCTACTTTGGCCAGCACCGCGAAGAGCTTCGTGGTTGTGTCGGTCCGCCAGGAGCGGTCAATAAACACCCTGAGCCAGTAACGGATGTAGCCAAACTCGCCGTCGAATGAACTCGGTACTCCCTCGGGAATAAGGAACTGGAACTGGAGATTATGGCAGCCCCTAGCAAGTTGGCCCGACCCTGAAGATAAAGGACGGATGAAAGTAGAAGCAATTTATGTTGGCGACGCATATTTCTGTATAATATTTGTAACAGTAGGGATGTTGCAGATTTCTGTCGGCACAGGAATTGTTTTCGTATAAGCATATTCAGTTGATGGGTATTCAAGTCTGCTTGTAAGGGCATAACACCTTCTGTTTTGTGACGTGTTTAAGCAGACACATACACGTAACGCCAGTTCAACGTTGAATGGTAATCGATTACTGCATGGCGTAATGTATATGGCATGTGTTTAGGTAATACCTTGTTGAACGATAATCAGTTACTGTAAGGCTGAATGTATATGACATGTGTTTAGGTAATACCTTGTTGAACGATACTCAGTTACTGTATGGCTGAGTGTATATGACATGTGTTTAGGCAATACCTTGTTGAATGATAGTTGATTACTGTATGGCTGAATGTATATGACATGTGTTTAGGTAATACCTTGTTGAACGGTAATCGATTACTGTATGGCTGAATGTATATGACATGTGTTTAGGTAATACCTTGTTGAACGATAATCGATTACAGCATGGCGGAATGTATATGACATGTGTTCGGGTAATACCTTGTTGAACGATAATCAGTTACTGTATGGCTGAGTGTATATGACATGTGTTTAGGTAATACCTTGTTGAACGATAATTGATTACTGTATGGCTGAATGTATATGACATGTGTTTAGGTAATACCTTGTTGAACGATAATCGATTACTGTATGGCTGAATGTATATGACATGTGTTCACGTAATACCTTGTTGAACGATAATCGATTACAGCATAGCGGAATGTATATGACGTGTTTAGGTAATACCTTGTTGAACGATAATCAGTTACTGTATGGCTGAATGTATATGGCATGTGTTTAGGTAATACCTTGTTGAACGATAATCAGTTACTGTATGGCTGAATGTATATGGCATGTGTTTAGGTAATACCTTGTTGAACGATAATCAGTTACTGTATGGCGGAATGTATATGGCATGTGTTTAGGTAATACCTTATTGAACGATAATCAGTTACTGTATGGCGGAATGTATATGGCATGTGTTTAGGTAATACCTTATTGAACGATAATCAGTTTCTGTATGGCGGAATGCTTATCCAAGAGGACGGAGAGATTCGGGGTTTTACAAACCCAGATCTTGTTTGTTCCATTTGTTTCACTCATCAATATTCAGCTACATGACGGCGGCCTATAAACGGGCCAGACAATCCTGTGATTGACACAATGAGCAACGCTCCAAACCCCTTCGGTGTACGATGATGCGCAATCAACTCGTTATTTTATGGAAGGCAAATAATATTCACATACATGAACACACAGGGTGAAAAAACGGAAGCTCGAGTGCATGTGAGCATTGATGCAAGATCCTATTTAAACTAATTCACGAGAGGTTAAAATACATACATGACCAATTGTATTCTTTAGTTTTACCCATAGTGTTCAATGCTTATTATTTACAAACTTACACAGTTTCTTGCTGACGGCCAGGTACTCCTCCTCGGCCGTGTGGTCGTCAGTCTGGCTGGGGTTCTGTGGTTCCCCCATGGAACTGGAACTGTCCTCCCAGAACACTCGGGCCTGACCACGACATTCTATCCGGATATCTACCACAAACAGAACAATCTGGTATAGTGAGTTACGACCATCTACATGATACGTACCCATTTACCAAAAACGGCGTGGTCCTTCCTGTAAACAGCTACTGGTGAAGATCCGGGTTAGAATTGACCTTCAGCAACTCTTGCTTGCCGTAAGAGACGACTAACGGGGTCGGGTGACTTGGCTGACACATGGCATTGTATGCCAGTTACATAGATTGATGCCTATACTGTTGATCAATGGATTGTCTGGTCCAGACTCGATTATTTACAGACCGCCGCCATATAGCTGGAATATTGCTGGGTGCGGCGTAAAACGACAATCAACCAACCAATCCTGTAAACAGTGCATGCCTATCAGTATTAATCTACACAACGTAACGTGACAGGGAACCGTAATGGTGACTGCGACTGTCGTAAATCTATGTTAAAGTAGGTTACTAACGATCATCTCAGCACTGTGATCGCTTGTGGAACGAGGCCAAGGAAGGTGACTCGGGGAAAATACTGGTCGCGCCACACAGTGCTGGCATGGTTGGTTAAAGTTTCATCGACTCTCAAGACATACCTAACGTGGAAAAGCTATTATTCCAACCTGGAATACATATATCGTATTTAACTGAGTCTTCTGCCATTTGTATATGGGACCGGACATTAGTTCAGTTAGGGACTACAAATATACCCTGTTTTGCACCGAGAACACTTTTTCCCCAGGACTGACTGACTGACTGACTGAGTTTGGTTTTACGCCGCTTTTAACAATATTCCAGCAATATCACGGCGGGGGACACTAGAAATGGGCTTCACTCATTGTACCCATGTGAGGATTCGAACCCGGGTCTTCGGCGTGACGAGCCAATGCTTTAACCACTAGACTACCCCACCGCCCCCTTTTCCCCAGGATATAATACTTGAGCTCTGGCCAAGTTTTAATGTTGGAGAAACTGGAGAAACTAACTCATATTTTCTGGCATCTTCCACGGCGTCACACTGCCCATGTTCATCTCTCCATGGCGGATCAGGGTGTTATTCAATAAAGCTGTTCACGATATGGGGACATGACATATAAATCGTAATATGTACAATAAGCAGACTGCAAGTACCTTTAACAATATACAACATCTACGCTCTAAACTCTTAAACTATTAGCTGCGTATTATATCAGCTAAACCAGTTTGCGTTTATCGATGCTCATGCTATCCACCTCTGGTTTACCTGGTCCAGCTCGAATGTGTTCAAGCCGCACGGTGAAGTAGCTTGAATGCGACTGTTGCTGTAATGACATCAATGCAGGCTTGGGGAAGATAACCTAGTTGTATCAGCAGCATCTGGCTTCTTATCAAAATCATGTTAACAGTGCCAGAAAAGAGCTCACGACAAACATTGTGTTGCCCCATGTACTGTAATGTCAAATATTGTACGATACTAATGTACTCTTGTGACGTAGTAAATGACCCTATGACAATGTCATAGTCACACTGGACGGGTCGAGACGACTAGGTCCCGATCCACAAAGCGTTCGTAACGTTACGACCCATCGTAACTCTAAACCTTATCATAGGCTTACGAATGGCATAGTGATACGAACGTTTTGTGAATCGGGCCCGGGGCGGTGGGATAGCCTTGTGGTTAAAGCGTTCGCTCGTCACGCCGAAGACCCGGTTCGATTTCTCACATGGATACAATGTGTGAAGCCCATTTCTGGTGTCTCCCATCGCAATATTGCTGGAATATTGCGTAAAGCTAAACTCACTCACTCAGTCACTAGATCGGGCCCCTGGTTCGGGATGTTTTAACCCCTGCGGCTGACCAGTCATGTCATGAGTGAATCCCCGTTTTAAGCTACTCCTTTTGCTGGCTATCCACGGGATAACTGAACGTAATCGTATGATGGCAGATCAGGGCAATATCAGCTGTTACATATGGAATCCTAGAAGGAACTAGGATTCGCCCTCACAAAAACAAGCAAAACGTGGCAAAATGAACTAAAGTGCGACAACACGACAATGTCCCCTCTAGGATTCCATAGTAACACGAACTCAGTGGTGAAATGTCGAAAAGCCTTAACACAGACGCGCTGACTTCATAGCATGGAGGGAGAACGAAAACATGAGCCATGAGATTTTCGTATTTGGCCAAATCATATGAAATAAAGCCATCAAAAGGGAGCAGAACAGAATTTCGTTCACACATCATCTGCCATACCCCCGTGTGCGAAATACGCATTATGTCGGAAACGCACGTTAAACCCCACATGGCCATCATCATCAGGACATTGTACTACCTGTACAAGGGTCAACACAGTGCATAATACCTCCGTTATATGACATGACTAAATTTAGTCTGTCATTATAGATTAATAAATATAGTGTGTGAAAAACTCGCCTCATAGTGCTTGAATATTTGTTGCAGTAGTACATAACACCCATTATTTCAATAAAGTGGAGGGCAATCCCTCCGGGAAAGACAATGATAATCGACACCGAACAATGACACCGAAAGGTTAAAATATATTCTTTGAGCGGTGGCGCCAAAGTTAATTTGTGTCTTACTTGAAAACTCCACTACCCGTGTTACACATTAATCGGCGCTCGATGGAAATGTACAAAAAGTACAAGCACAAGTGAAGAAGATAACGCGAATATAAAATGATCGGGGGTTAACATTGTCCAGTGGTCGTTCAGAGTCTGTGTCATTGTGTGGATATCTACGACAATAAACTGTGTCCCTCAAATTTGGAATGTACCTTTTAGTTTAGGTAAAATGTGCTTAGATGCTTGTCCAAAGGGGTTGAAAGGAATTTCTCATTTGATCGTGAGATTCCCGATGCATTGAACAACATTCGGTACTTCTGGAGTGGAAAATCACTCGGGTTCTGTTTGATTTGTATTCTCAGACCACGTAGAGGACAGTGCGAGACAATACACGGGGGAATACCAACAGGAACAATCGCAATTACCTGGGACGGAGAATTACCACTGCAGACGTTTGACAAGACCTTGTTTTCTCCAAGAAAGCACTCTAAGAAATCCTTTGTCGATACAGTTGACTCATTATGATCACGACAACCACAGTCAATTTCACCATGTTTTTTTCCACCAAACATATATTATGAAATGGTCATCGTTTTGGTCAAGAATGCAAAGTCAATCTTGCAAACCCTTTAAACCAGTATTATGGTTATAACACCTTGAGCACGAGTAAAGTAAGCTGAAGGTTACCAGGAGAGAGAAACTTCCACTTCGTGACTTTAACATTCAAATCAGTCGTCACAACTCGACATTTTCCCGAAACCTTCACGAACATTTGTCCACCTAGCTATCAATGTTAAGTGTGACAATATGACGAACCAATCAGAATGCGCAGAATATCGAGATACACTAAAAACAGTGAGAGTGCTTAAACCGTTGATGACAAAATATGACACATTCGCATACGCAGTGTGTTGTATGAATCTTATTTGTTGATGGAAATAGAGTTATCCTTGATTTGAGGTAGGTCTGAAGTTCATGTGCAAGAATGACACGTCATCCAACGAGAGGGGGCATTCGGCTTGTTCCACAATGTCGCGAGCTGCTCGGGAATACTTGGACAGTGCCATGTAGTGCTGAATTATCAGGAAGGTTGCCATGGTATTTGGTACTAGTACTGATGATATATACCATCCCTGCAAGGCCCATCCTCATTCCACACTGCTCCAATGTCCCGCGGCGGACCTATACTCTCCAAATAATATATTCCTCAACAGGCCTATTATTTCTCGGAGAGATTCTTGAAGCTGTCATAATTTCACGTGATGAAATCAACACTCAGACCTTATAGTCACAATTGGCTTTGATGGTGAGCATTGGCATTTAGTTGTCGGTAGCGTTCCCAGTTTCACAGCAGGAGAGGGAGAGCCAGAGTCAATTAGAGTATAGGCTCTGGGCGTTATTCCATGGTCAGCGCTCTCGGCTCCATTAATCCCGTCAACGACCTTGAAGGAGTGGAGATCACCTTGGTCTCAAGTAAATGCTTCACTTGATCAACAGTTCAACTCAACAGTTCGGAAGCAATGTTATCGATTTGAAATTACGCCTTGCATTCTCACAACACCTCAATTTACATGAACCGATAGCAATTCTGTTGTAAGTGAAAGCATTTCGTGTTTTCCTTGATACTAAAGCGGTGAATTATCAACGTTGTGGGTGAGGTGTCAAGAAATTAAAGTAAGCTGTAAACACATATATACAGTATTATGGAGTGAGTCCGTTTTCCAGATGCTTTCAGATCCATCTCTCTCCCTCCCTCTCTCTCTCCCTTTCTCTCTCCCTCTCTCTCTCTCTCTCTCGTCTTTGGAGGACACACTAAGTATTGAGTGTCTAAGCATGCTCAGCCGCATTTCTCAAATGATTAAATATGCATCAATTTTATTACAAAACATGAACATTATGCGAACAACAAAGTAAATTTTATGCTCTTGCTCACGTGAGTACATATACTCGCATTAATAGATATTCGGTGTAAAATATTCCTAATTAAATTCCTTGGTGTCGACCTGAATTACGGTAACTGATAACGTTTAAAAATGGCTGTTTCTGCTGAAACAGTATCTTTTCAATCAATATATTGTGCTCGCAGAGATAATGGGTATAAAATTTGCCGTGCATCGTCTTCGAAATCCATTCCCTGATTCATATGTTCTGAGCCTCACATGGAAAGACGTGACCTTAAAATGATAATTCCCTCTGCACTTCCACCACATTTGTCTGTTATCAAATTCTCAAGACCAGTGGCCATGTTATTTTGATGACTTGCTGAAATGTTTGTGGATAAACCTCAGTGACACCATGTAATGTCAACAAGAGAAGATTTCAGTAATAATGATAATGATAAGGGTTTTATATAGCGCCTGCTTCGAAAAAGTATTTGCTCAACGGCGCTGAAGAAGAAAGTCTGAAAAGTCAATGAGAGGGATATTGTGAACAGATGGGTTTTTAGGGCTGTTTTTGAAGATAATATGGTAT